TAACATAACATGCAACAGTATATATTCTACTCAAACGTCATGTTTTTTATTGTTGATTAAATGGTCTAGAAATGCTATAAAATAGTATTATAAAAGAATTAGGTGCGTCACACTTAACAAAATAATAGTGTTATTTAATTATTATTATAGGTACATTGTTTGAAACTATTATTTTTATACACGATAGGTTGCGTATAGGTAACTTTAATGACTTTTTGAAAAAAATTATTCAATTTAAGAACTCACAATTATTGACATTTTTTTTTTTAAATGAATTTAAGAGAAGTCTCATGCCCACATTAACACTAGGTATTATTAATTATTGTATAGGTAAACGGTTCTCAATCTGTGACTGAACAAAAAAAACGCGAAACATCGTCTACGAAAAAACGAAATCAAAGCACTATCGATTATAGTAAAACAATTCTTGTAAAAATAATTAAACCGTCAAAAATATTATTAAACGTCAATAGATTAATACCTACGTCGTGCTTTTTTTATCAGTTTGTTATCAGTAACAATTTGATGATTTGGATCCAAACAGTTAAAAGTCCCATTAAAAACACACACACAATTATTTTAAACGGTCATTTTGAATTAAAATATCAGTACTTACAGACTAAAACTCGACTTTTATTAAATACGAGTTACTCGAATGAAGTTTTCAACCACACAATGTATATCTTAGTACTTGAAATGTAGAATATGAGTGTTTAAAGTTACTTTACATCACATAATATTATGGCGTCACACTAATTATGCATTATAAAAATAAATTGAGCTACGGTTAGAATAAATTATTTATATTCCCACCGAAACGGCTAAAACCACTGTTATTTTTTTCTCACGGGTTGTACTATGATATTTCTATGATACCTAAATTATATGGTAACTGAATAATCACAGAGGATCATCGAATGTTCCTTCGGAGAAAAAAAAATACGTAAAGATTATAGATTACACAATTTATGATATTTAATCTACCGTATCGATAATAATAATAATTATGATAGTTACGTTACACTCGATTTCACATATTTAACATAAAGTACTGTAATTGAAATGAATTATAACACTATTAATACGACGGATAAAAAATATATTTTTTACTATACAAGGTGAGTTCGTTATCGCGTTTCATAGACAATCGTACGAAAATGTCGAGTAAAATTGACTTTGGTTTTTTCAGACATCATCGGTATAATTTGGTTTGTGTATTATTTATAATAATTTCAAATTGTAACACTAATTAACTTTTGATTTTTAACTCCCAACCGTCTTTAATTCAAATCAGATTTTAAGAGATAATATTTGTTCATTCATTTTGGAATGTATAGATTATTATCCATTGATCTTTTTTTTTTTAGGGTTTACCATTAATAAGTTATAACCAAAAACTGTTTTGAGAAAAACGCAGGGGGACTGAGTATCTCAACTAATTTTTTTAGATATTCTAGCGTACTTCTACTTCTGATTTAAAGAGAAACGCATCAGACGGGCTGTTATTTAACTATTTTTACGAAATTGTTCAACATAAATAGTTGTATTAAATATATAAATCTTACGAAATGTTCTAATATTTACGAAACGTATTTGATATCTAATTTTGAATACGTGATAACTGATAAGTATAGCCATCAATGACAACTATTTATTATCATTAAATTCGGGTAACCAGTAACCGCTGACCTATTATAGTATTATAATTGAACAACATGCTATTATCTCGTTTAACCCAGCGATCAATATTCTCATTTATGGAATATTTTTAAAAATGATCAATGAACATTTAAACATTGAACACAGGTGACCTGTGAAGGATCGGCTTAAACACATTTTCTAACCAATGGATGTAGACAACTTAACCTACACGTCGCCGTTTTTATAATGTCAGGCAATCATTTGGGCATGCCATGTTTGTCACACGGTCACTAATATTTTTGTATGTTCCGTGTTCCCAAGTGTCAACCGCTCAAAATTTTCATGTGCTGATAAAAAATAACAAATCGTTCAACGTTGTATACAGATCTATTTTAAAGTAAGTTTTTCCAAGTGGCTTCCAAGGTTGGTTAAAAGAAATGTGCGGGAAAACACTACAAAATGAAGCTATACTGTGATTGATAAAGTGTGACTCAATGCTTTGTGATTCATTAAAAAATTGTAATTAAAAAAAAAATAATACTAATAATGTATTGATAGTAAATATTATTTAATGTCAAATTTATTTATAATTATAATATTAGTAGAACAGATATTATTGTTCATGCATTCAGTTTTGAAAAATAAATGCATTTATTATTTTTTTACCGATGATTTTGTTTAAAATCAAATATTTTCAATCGACGACTGACATAATAATTATTTGTTAAAATTGAAATAATTATCAGGTAACTTACAACGCCGAATACAGATTAGCGTGATGCAATAAATGGTCATAATTGGGAAAAACGCATAGATATGTTTAAAACAATTTTATCTACAGAGTTACCGAGTTACAGTGTACCCACTGAATAAAATTTACGTAAAAATTAAAAACGCAAAATGTCTATAAATATCTTAAAAACGGCAAAAGTGTTTTGAAATGTTTTAGCATATTTCCTACACAGATTAGCTGAAGAAATACTTAAAATAATTTTCGAAAGTATATGCTTTAATATCAAACGTAAAATAATTTTTTTTTAAATACCCATCTCGAATATTAGAAAATCAAAGAAATGGCACCAGGGATACCAATGCCCCATCGAACAATTATAATTTAGATGGGGTACATAGTTTTCGGCACCTTTATACTATTGTGAAAATTATCGATTGGTTAAATCTGTTTTGTTGGAGTTTGACAAAGATGATGCTGTTGCAATTGAAAATGCATAAAAACTGATTAACGGTACTAATTTGGAATTGAACGTGAAGTTCATTAAAGCAAAACTATGGAAATTTACCAAAATATATAACTACATTGGAAACATCTAGATTATTATCATGGGTTGATGCAATTAATATTATTGCTCAAGTACGAAATAAAATTAGATCAAATATAAGGTTAGTATCGGAAAATGCATTAAAAGAAAAATTAGATACTGTAATATTGAAAAAAATATGGGATATTTAAAACAATTTAAAATATTTCTTCTGGAAGAAAATGCAACTTCTCGAGGTAATACAATATCTGAAGAATAAATAACAAAATTATTTTAAAACATTAAACACCATCTGGTTATTCAGTGCCACAATAAATCACATGGTAAATATATATATATATTATTATAGTAGTATAAAAAGGAGAGTTCTACCCCAGGAGCAGGAGCAGGAGCAAGGATTTTTTTTTTTTATTCTATATACACCACGTACTCGATCTATTAAGACCACGCCCCTTTTTTCGAAACATTATTAAATATTATCGGCTACTTGGTCGAGCAATATTTTCCCTCACCCATACATTTTCTATATGCACCAAGTACTCGACCACCTCCACCCCTCCCCTTTTTTTTCTACACTGTTATCACCAAATACTACTCCCCCGCACATCTACCCTCTGACGAATACCTATACAATATTATTTCGCGGCCCCGCGCGCGAGCTCGCGTCCTCTTCCCCGCACATCTACCCTCCGAGAAGGAAATATTATCTATGTATATCAATAGCAGCGCGAATTATGTTTCTTGCCTGTAAGACCTTGTACGATCCTGTACGAGTTGGTCTCTTAACTCACCACTATAAATACACGAGTTTTCACTCGAGAGAGCACCAGGACGTTCACAACAAAATCATTATTCGTCTCACAGTCTTAGAAGCAAGTCATCGTCGTTGACTAGTTTTCATTTTTTTTTTTTTTTTTTTACTATTAATTTTTAGTGTTTGATAAATTTTATACAAGTGATTAAATATGTCATTCAAAAAGTTCGAATACGTAGCACCAGCATCACCTCAGGATCTAACTAATTGTTCTTCGTTTACTATTGATTTTTCCTCACGAAAGTTTCTGCACGTGGGGCTTGATCCGACTCAACACATAGTCATTATAATAATCTCACCTTCAAGACATGTAATCATATCCGTTGATTTTTTACAACGATTATTCGGTCTGATGGGGAGCATTTTGTCATTCTTGCTTGACCCACCAAAATACTTAAGGAATATTTTTCTATCTACCGAGGACGTAACACTATCGTGAAAAATTAAAAGTTGTGTAGCGAGAGCAATATTGCTCAGCAGATAGCGCTGGTATATGATAAATTTTTATTTCAAATCGTTAAGTTCATTTTATTATTTATTTATCATTTTTGTTCCATTAATAAGAAATTATGATAAAATAATAATTATATATGCATCACATATATTATGAAAACAGCTGGTAAAATCAAACAATAACCTCCCTATTGGAGATAAACAATCGACCGACAGGATAATTGACCGACAATAATTTATAAAGTAGTAATTTATAATACCATACAATTTTTATTTTTAAAATCTACTCATAAAAAAAAGATGGACACACTTCACACGATGAGTGGTCCACTGTTGTCGGTGAGAATTTGAGAACGTAGGATATAGAGGGGAATATTATTTATATCTTTGCGTAACAATTAAATTATTTTTTGTTTACGTATCGTATATTACGATGAATGTAATTTGATGAAAAATTATTTTGTTACTATACTCGTGTAATTATAAGTGTTATATTAATTTACGAGAAAAAAAAAAAAGAAAAAAACGAGTAGTAATTATAATCTATCGTATGTGAAAAACATTATTGTAATTGATTTTTTTATTTTTATTATTTTTACTGAATTAGTAATTCGCGGTTTAGGTTATTTCAGATTTAAACAATTTCGCAAATATATTAATACATTAACATTATTATTATACACATTATACATCGGTCGATTATCCTGTCGGTTGCTTGTCCATGTCGGTATTTTAGCTGTTGGTCAAATGGTTGTCAGTCGATTGTAGTTGTTTGACGTTTTTGGGGGTGGGGGATAAGCGGGGATTCCGGGAGTCGATTCAGTAATTGGCAGGGATTGAACACTAAATCCTGGTTTCGGAAGAAGTTGAAAACTGGAAATAGTACACAATTACTAACGGTTACAACTGAAATAATGTTCAATTCCATAGAACAGAACAAAGTTGAATCTAGTTTGTTAAAAATACTGATATAGCTAGGTACATTTTTTATTCAGTATCGTTACGATCGCGGACGATTGGATACGATTGGGGGACACGCATTGTGTCTGGGAAGAAAACGAAATCATAAAACTGACCGTATTGATATTATTATTATTCAACCTTTATTATTAAAATATTGTTAAATTTGGTTTTGCAAAAGTCATAAACCATTCTTTCGCGATTGATGATCAATTTTTTGACTTTAAAGAGTATATATATATAAAGGAAAAAAAAAAAACAATACAATTTTAAATTCGATTACAATATAAATATATATCTAAATAAATATATATATATGATAATAATATACGTAATATTTACCTATATAATCAACTGTGTTTGATTAGTGCACAAATTAATAATTACACAAAATTCCTAACTACTAATACTACTTTTACTACTAATAATAACAATAATTAATATATGGTGTATTTGAAAATGATTACCTATAACAAGGTACAATTATTTATCATAGAATATTTTAGCTACATATTATCTGTATGGCTATATAGGTAGTAAATACATACAATTATTTTGGAGTTTACGCAGTATTATTCTATGGTCATTATATAAAATAATAATTATACCCATAATTATAGTAACCGTATACTAGATGATCCGTTTAACATCGATAAACTTATTATTTTTTCACGGTTTAACTTTGCGTGTTTTTAGATTTTTTTATAGTTTAATATTTTTAATACTGCACTTTTTCGCAAAACCAATTGTATTTCATAATATCCAGTTACCTGCTTACCCTTGCTGTCAAATTCGTACTATTCATATTCGGAATAAAAACATTTTTTTCCGTAAAAATGTTTATGTTTTGCTTTGTGCGAACACCGGATATCGTTATTGAATTAATACACATAAGAAAAATGTAATGTTTTCGAATATCAATGTTACTACTGACGGTATAATACAAATTTGGAATTGAAATAGTGTCCACTTGTCTCGCAAAATTTTTTAATAGCCTTTAAATAGTACAAAAAAAAAATCTTCGTTATATCATGTAAACAAAATATTATGTCTATACAAAGCACTATACAAATGGATCATCTGGCATAGGCAATATGACTAATAATTAATTTCATATGTACGCAGGTATGTAATTTAAGTACAATACGGAGCAATGATTATATTATTATGTTGTTATATTACATTCATCCGTGATGAGGGTTATTTGCGACGAATGTGGTATTCGAAGACGTTCAAAAGTAATACGGTGATCAATTAGTTATAAATTTACATAATGTAAACTATTAATGAAGAATGGTTAAATTATACCGAGAAGTAATGTTGCAGTCTGTAAATTCGACTACCTACTCGTTTTGCACATCATTAACAAAATAAAATAAAAATATTATGCTAAAAGTAGTGATTTCTAATAGTAAAGTTCTTTAGAAAAACTAACACAATATTGAACTATAACTATATGAAAATAATGTATTTAAGTAATGTTTGAAGGTATTGTATAAGACGTTGTTAGAAACGAGCTACAATAATATTTAAGTTGAACTTATAAATAAATAAATAAATAAATAAATAAATAAATAAATAAATAAATAAATAAGTAAATAAATAAATATATATGGACACGCTGAGTTTGGAACTCGGGATATGATGAATAAAAGGGAAAATAATAATTCAGCTAGCTATACTGTCGTCGAAAACATAAAATTCAATGAATCTGTCGACGACTATATAATTTGATTGTTGACTTTGTAAAAAAAAAAAAAAAACATAAATATTTTGACGGCCGAAAACACAGACGACAAATTATCGAAATGTTATGTTCACGTGGTGACGACGAGGACAAATAAAATATTATAATCAATAAACACGTTTCCGTTTTGGCGGATACACTTGGAGGTAAATTTCAGAGGCGAAGAGAGATGAACATTGCAATAAGTTAATAGGTTTAACTTAATTTATGAATATATTCACAGGCACGGATCCAAGGAAGGGGGGGGGGAGCTAAGAGACTTAAGTCCTCTCTTCCAACTTTGTCCAAGTCGTAAAAAATAATCCCGTTAAGTATTTAAACTATTTATTAGACTTTTAATAACAAAAAAAGAATTTTCAAAATATCATCACTTATCGTTACACGAATAAGTTCTAACATCAATATCCGATGTACTTAACCAATTGGCGATTGCGTATCTTTGTTAATGTAGTTCAGCAGCTAAAAACTGATGCATTAGGCGGGTTCGAAAACACGTTATCGTTAATAATTATAATTAATACATTCTCGTCAAATATATTATTAAATGTATTAAAAAAAGCCTGGATGAATGAAAATGGAAAACCGGTTAAATACAAAATAAAACGATCGAATTACATAACTTTTTGTTATTTAAATTGCAATAAATAAATACATAGGCAGAGGTTAAAAACATAGCTCGATTTAGCTGATCCCCATTTGTGATCTCTCGATCCGCGCCTCTGGATACACACAGGTGTACATTTTTATGACGGACCGATGATCATTTATGTACAAAGATTTTCAGTGATTTGTAATTATAGCATTCCTTATTGCACCATACATTAGAATCGTTTAGTTTAATGATCTTGTTTTACAAACACGATAAACATTATATTGCAGAAAAATACTTTCCCCTCGACTATTGTTATAACGATATGTCACGAAATTTTTAGAAAAATACGTTGTTTTTCTCTCAAATCCTATACCTAGTTTAGAAATGTAAATCGCTATGTGGTTATATGACAATTATACGGCAGGTACATACCGTACAAAATAAAAGTGATATTTTTAAAACGTTGTTAATAACCACGAATAGTTTGTATCATTGAATTAGTTATGTGGGAATTTGATATCCGCCAATGGGGCGCGCGTGTGTATTGTCGTAATATTTTATAGCCAACAAGTGGCGATCTGTAAATAATAAATTAAATCTACACCTAATACATAATACATAATATACATACATAATATAATAATTTGAATTTTCACGTTCAAACGCAACTGTTCACTATAATACTATAATCTGACCGCATAAATACAACTAAAAACTAGACTTGAGCTGTGGACGAGACGTGTTATGATCGTCGCACTAATTTTTCTAATGACTTTGAATGCGTACGTCGCGTCGCGGAAAAAAAATAATTTATCTATATCGTATTTGTGGTATTCACCTGAAAAAAGAAAAAAACCAAAAGAGAATCGCTATTAATGATATTATATTATATACCTGCCTACCGGAAAAAGTTTGTAGTAATAGAGAAGTTGTCGACGAAGTGTTCCACGCCCAGTATTTTTAGGGGTCGTGTATAGGCAATTTTAACGAAACATTTTAATTGAAATTTATATCGACTTGAAAATATTCATTTTCTAGTAATAAGTTTACTAAAATAAAAAAAAATATTTTATATTACTGCGCAATCGTACCTACACTACAAACACTGCAAAACACCCGCTCTAATAAATTTTATTCGAACTTGTTAGACAATTGTTAGGTTTTGTTAAAGCGAATTTCAACAGTTATTAATACATTTAGGTATGTAGTGCTTAGTACGTGCCGTGCAGAACTACACATGAAATAAAACCGACAAAACGCAGTCATCAATAAAATTATAATCGATATTGCTAGACAGTTGGTGGAGTTCGATGGAAAACAAGTTGTATTGTACTTCAAGTATGCAGTGACACGTTTAAATACACCTCGAAAAATATTCAGTCTTAGCCCAATCGCTATCCTTAATCTCAGCCTCAGCTTAGCCACTTACTTTCATGTCGATCCCGTGGACTCGCCGCCGACGGCCGTTGTTTCCGCGGACTTGACTTGGGCGACTTTTGACAATTTCTCCGTCTCCTCCACCTCCGACTGCAGCAGTCTCTTGGCATTCCTGGCATGCACTAGTTTGTTGATCTCGTTGTACGTGGTTACCATGGGCACCGAGTCGTCCGGCGACCTTTGCGACACGCACGCCGAGAAGACCATCTCGCATTCTTGATTATCTTGGCCGTCTTTGGCGGCTTTCATGTACTTGAAAAACCGTAATATCTCCGGGTTTTCTGACGAGGGTTTTCGTAGTTCGTTCAGCTCCCTGGAAAACCGCATAATATTACTCATCGTTTTATTAGAGGACGGGTCAGTTTTATTTCCACGCGATATATATTCTTATATATATAGTTAGTGAGAAATAAATATTTTCTAGACACAATTTCATTTTGTGAGTTGAATAAAAAATTGAAATGTACGAATATTTTGTTCTAAATCCGCGATGATAGGTGTAAAAAAAAAATGTTTTAACCGATAAACCTACATTGTGATGTTTGTTTAATAATCGCTCTACTTGATATACGAGTATATTATTATGTTGAAATCATTTCAGTTTGCGACAAATGTATACTAAGTTAAGACGCGTATACCAATGACGTATTACGTGCTAGTATTTTTGAAAAAATGTCACTAGTATAACTGATATTATTGTTTGTTTACAGACTACGTATGCCTGAATCTATATATTATACTTTTCGAGATCTACAACTAGATACGTGATTGTCGCATATTGTGCGTACGTGACACGAGATGGATTATACAGGATGTATCTAGAGGATTTGACGATTGCAAAAATAATTGTCAAATCGTGCAGACATACTTTGTATTGTAATGCCGCATATTATTAATTATCGAGTCGATGAAAAACTATTAAATCACTAATAATACAATAATGTATGTACGTTAGTAAAAGAAGAAAAAAACGTTAAAAAACGGATCCGCGGACGCCTTATATTCAAACACATATATTCTTGTGTTTTCATACTTTGCACACTCGCGTTTTATTAAACACCTACACTCAAATCTAAAATTGTATATTTATATTTGATTTGATACGTACGCTGCGCAATTTGTGTCGTCGGAGAAATTATATTTAGAATAATAATTTCTACAAATAATAATTCACTTCGGCTAATATTATACTTGTATATACTAGATGATTAGGTATTTGGCTTAAGTGACGAATGTTGTGTTATCAAACTTTCACATTTAGCCTCCTTATTTATCGAAATGACAAAAACGTGCATGGACTAACGTGGTGTCCGACTGAAAACTAGTTTAAGTTTATTTTCCAGTCCTATATATTTATTTCGATCACATAATATTACCTACCGACAACGTTAATCTGTTGTTAATATGATTACTGTTAATAATTATTATTTTAGTCGAAATAAGTTTTTTCTTGATAGTTACAATTAGCATGTTTACACATGGATAAATGTTTGAATAAATTATTATAAAAAATAGTACTGTATTAATTACCTACTAAATTAAATTAAACAATTATTTGTAACGTAAAAACATTGGTATAATAGTGACTTTCTCAGTTCTTATAACATAATCCCATTAAAAAAAAAATATATAACATCATTTTAGTCTTTATTGTTACAATTTAATATAAATAGTAAATACACTCAATTTTAATTGTAATTTTAAATGTAAAATGATAGATAAAAAGTGAATAATAGTAAGCATATCAGCCTTTTTTTGGAAGTATTTTGTAAGTTTTTATGCGTGTATAAATACTTGTCCTAGGATAATGGGGACAGGTGCAGCCACTGTTATAGGTGGAAAGTTGGGAAGGTAGTAGAGCCGAAATTGAATGTAATTCTGTAAACAACAATTAACAATTGCTAAAGAAAAAACGATTTTGAGCGGAAATCGGTTGATAGTGTTGCTTTTTCAACAATATAAATTATACGTCATATAATATAAAAATAATTAGATATGTATTAAATATTTTCTTTAATAATATTTGTTTAATATTGTACCCATTTCCTTGTTTTCCAAACGGTATATATTATAAGTGGAACTTTGTAGTCAAAAAAAAAAAAAAAAATTGAATGTAATACATTTTTTTTATTATAAGAATTTAAATTTAAAATCATAAATATTACGGTCTTTAAAACATGTAAAAACGAACTCCGCTCAGAACCTTTTTCGATAGCATTAATTAATCGTTGCGAATAGTTATAAACTAAATTCCCCACTTTATGTTAACTTTCTAACTTTTCATCTTTAACAGTAGCCCACCTATCATGCGAGGTTATATCTATTATTTTTTACTTGTATTTGTACTTTTTTAACTCCATTTGTCATTGTTTATAAATTTAATTTAATTTAAAAATCGTTTATCACTTAGTTTTTATTAGTATTAAGATGTGAATTAATTTCTCTTAATAGCTTAAAAGTTGAAAAATTAAATCAACCTATGATCTAAAAAAATGTATTATTTACATCATGAAAAATGTATCTCTATAATGGAAATATTGTTTTTTTTTTAAAAAATTATAGTTTCTAATGATTATTTGTAATTCTGTAATTATTAACCAATTATTGGTATATTTGATACGAAAAAAATTGATTTTTAACCAACCAAAGGTTTAATTTTTAAATTAGTCAGTTTCTTGATATGGGATACCGCCTAAGGGATACTATTAGGGAGAAGAAAACAATGATGAAAAGGCCCAAAGTTGTTGGCCACCATACTAGACATTTTCTGGTTACGTGCCTGGGTTGGAAAGTTAAACCTTTTTTTTAGAACTTCACATAACAAAACATCGATTAAATCAACATTGAACTTAAAATTTTAAAAAAGCTGAGACTGGGAATGGATGTGCTACCATTTTAGGAGTTAAGGTAGTTGGGAAGGTGGGATGCATACATTTATTTAATTTATACCTGTAACCAACGATTAATCATTGCTAACGAAAAACAATTCGGAGCAAAGTTCGGTTAGAAATATTTTGAAAGGCTGTAATATTTACGATGTTCGTTAAAATTTGGTTTTTAAACACTTATAATTTTCAAGAATTTTTATTTAGGCTAATAATTTTATCTACATAGTTCCTGACAAATAAAAATAATATAAAAAAACTCGCAAAATTAAAATGTCTATAAATACCTCAACAATTTACCACGTTAAGAAAAATAAAATAAAATTTGTTTTGTCGAAATGTCAAGGTTACGAATATTTTTGACTGAATGATCACAACAAAATAAACAAAATTGAAAGTATAAAATAATTATTATTGTAAATTTTTTAATCTGAAAAAAAAACCTACATCATAGTAAAACCAAGATCCCTCGCTACGTGTCATTAATTTGATGAACTATTTTTAATCGAATTTCCCAGTGATCCAAAAAACAAAATAATTTATGAAAAAAATTTAAAACTGTCATATAACAACGGTGATACGTGATGATTTTATTCAGTTTTAGGAAAGTATTAAAATTTAAAAAAATTTTTTTTATTAATATGTTTAAAATACTAATATTTATAAAGGTAGCTGAAGCGAGACAAGCATTCGGAATTACTGTCCTACTTTTTTAAATCACTCAGTATTTACGCAATTAAAACAATTTTTAATTACTATTATTATTAATAGATTTTTATTATTATTGAACGGACGTTACCAATATAATTATTAATTCAAAATTGTTTTTATTTAGATGAGTATTACCTATTCTACATAACAATACATTCAACAAAAAGTGATTTTTATATTATCTCCACGTGATTATCTATTGTATTATAACACAAAAATAAATTTATATTTTTAACATTGAATTTTTTTTTAAAATTATAATAAGAACAATTAATTGTATCATCAGCGTTATTAATTATGCAGAGAAGAGTAATCTATACGTAAATGTACTTTTATATTTGAAATTTTGAGTGATGAATTTATTTGATATTTCATTTCAAAATAGTAGTATAACCGATTTGTTTGTCGGCGAAATAGGAAGATTTTTAATATCTTATAAAACCGGTTTATTTGCAAAATGGGATTCGGCGATGTGGGAAGACGCGCATCCATCAACAGTATTAACATTTTTTTTTTTCTTATCACATTTTTGTACCGAATTCTTTAAGTTTTTGCAAACTTGGAAAAAAAAATACCTTGGTAGCACAAATAAAGACGGTCGACGGTTCCTCCTACGAAGTATAATTATAAATTGAGGGTTACGCCTAGGATTGACGAAACAAATAAATAATAATGGATCTATTATAATATTAGGAGACCGTTCGTCCGCAGCCGCCGCCGCTCCAAGCACTTTAGGCGACCTAACTTAATCTATGAATAGCGAACCTAACGGGCATATTAATTATGTGTATCCGTTATAAACGCCCGGGTATGTTATTGCGGTTTTCGTCGATTCGCGATTCTACGCGCGTGTTTCGATAATATTAGATATAATAATCCTCCGATCTCACAATCGACATTCTTTTAAATCACTTTGCGCATGCTCCGGTCGATCGATCAAAATACTATAGATCCTATGCGCATCGCTCGCATCAATAAAATTAATCATAACCGACTACTACGACAACGTATATCGACGAATTTACGATCGGTCTATTGTTAATCTATAATGATATTATAGCCTCGTGTATATTGATGGTGTATAGCTACGAGTACGAGTACGAGAGGTCGTCGTCGTCGGGAGAGCTCATATTGTATGACATTTTTTAAGAGTCATGGTTTTTTTTTTTTTTTCTAATCGAAATGGAAAACAATATTGTCCGGTGGGTGCCTGTACTTACGGGTATACACACGGCAGAAACGCACATCAATTAATATAATGGTAAATACTAATAACAATAATATCATTATGCGCCGAGACGAGCTTCTTAATGAGATACTCGTTCTCGTAAGTAATCACTGTGACGATGTGACCTACATGTAGGTTATGTTCGCGATTATGGTAACGCGGTGGTCGTCCGCGGTAGCGCCGCCCCGACAAGACAATAATAATAATAATAATAATAATAATAATAACAATAATAATTGGCACGTGATTACGCCGCCGCCGTTGCCGGACCGAGTGAAAGTAACGCCGCCGCCCAGCACGCGCCCGGGATAAATCGAATTTATTATTATTGTTGTTGTTGTTGTTGTTGTGGGATACGGTCGAAACGCCGGCAACGATAACTGAAATGACGGCAGATCACGCATCGCGAGAGGTTTAGATTTGTTAAACGGCATTAAATGTCGACGGGTCAAAAGCAAAGAAAATATAATGAACCCATACTGCTAATGGGTACTCGGGCAGGTAGATGAACTGTGCAATTTAGTTTTTAAATCTTCTTGAATGACGCACCGGTTAAACAAACGCGTTTATTTTAATAAGTTAAATTGACGGTTTCGTCAATATTCGGAACTATTAGCTTATACCGAATTGTCACGCGACGCCCGATTTCGTTTGTGAAATAATATCTCGTCGACGGGTCGACGAAAATTAAAAACGTCAACACCGAAATGTACCGAACCGAGACTTCGTCGAAAGTGGACAGTGGCGGTATTGCCACCGAAAATAACGAGAATGTATCATTTTTTTTTGTCCGAAAAACAAATTCCGAAAAAAATTTAATTAATACTTTCCGAGATAGCGAATCTCGGAAAGTATTAATTCGATCAGGTCGCGCGGAAAAGTATTTCGTATAGCGTTTTAAAAATATCGCGTTCCCGCAATACCGTAATAACGGCGGTACCGCGTTGTAAATAACTGTCGCGACCGACCTGCTCAATTGCGCGGACACCAGGTTGCTGTACGGCGCGAACTTGGCCGGATTCCTGTACATCTGGCAGACCAGCCGTTCGCGGCACGGTTCCGTGACGTAGCCCAGTTGTTTGAACACGGTGTCGATCCTGGACAGCAGCGGGCTGTAGAACGGGTCGTAGTTGGCCAACAGGTGCGAGCTGGCCGGTATGTTGTGGAAAACTTTGAAGTCTTCGGTCTTGTCCTTGGTGTAATAGTTGCCCGTTTGCAGTTTCGTGCTGGACACCGCGTTCTGGCCGTATTTCGCCGGATATCTGTGCGGACAAATGTCGATTAATAACATAATATCCCGTGTTTCGCTGTGACCAACGGCCGTTATAATTGGCGCGGCAAAATAATAAACCTAACCTAACCTAACCTAACCTAACCTAACCTAACCTAACCGTACCGATATTTTCATTTCACATTCGAATGAATTATTGACCTATAATGCAACTTTAAGGGCGGGACACGGTTCGCGTTTGTACACGGATTTTTTTTTCTGGGCCCTTCCGTGCGAAATACGACTGTGTGAAATATCGTAGTTTTGAACGTTTTCGTGTATCGCTCGGACGTTAAAATAACGAAAATGCCAACGCACACAAGCATAAAACAATGTCGTTGCTTTTAAGTTTAGGGATAGGTCAATGCGCTCGAATATTAAAAACTAAAAGTATAACGTCGGTTCTGCCGAATGTAAATTTACTATTTCACGCGTCTATAAAACCGAGACGACGGACGCACGTGTACGCTGCTCGAATCGGACAAATATAAGAAGATGGCCAATGAGATGGCCGTTAAATTATTTATTATCATACAAAGTAATTATAGTGGAATACAGAAAATACAATAATGATCAAAATTTTAGACTGGACGATAATGATACTGAATTAGTTTAGAAATTAATATTGTTTGATATTCGATTTTAAAAATTAAATTTATAACATTGAATGTATCTGAGTTCATAATACACGTATTTGATAATATCATTTATTTGTAAAAAGATACTTCCCTCCGCCTCAATAGAAATAATTGGTAGGTTGCAGGTTCCTATCCAAATTCGAGCCCGTAGTGCCTTCTTACGTGTTATTTTATAAAGGTAAATTTTAAAATATCTAGATAAAGATAAGAGAAAATGTATAGGTGAAAATAAAAGATGCATAATAATATAATTATTTAGGTTCTGTATAAAGATAAATGATAAGACATTTTTTTTTTCTAGATCATAATTATAATCATTAACTTCAAAAAACTAAGTGTTAAAAGTATTAAAAACTTACCAGACTCATTAGATATAACTTAATAAATTATTTATTAAATTATGTTAACATAAATTAAATATTTTACTAATTTTTTTTTTTTTGTTTAGTTTTATAAATTACAAGTTGTCCCGCCCGGCGTTGCCCGTGCCAAATAAATGTGTAATAAAAACGATTTCCCCCTAGATTACTTGTTTCAATCTCTGTCACTATTACTGCGGTTAACCGTTGTTACCCTTAAATGTTTAAAAATGCATTTTCTTTATTTTTATTTCCATACTTATATTAAATTAGCTATATGGTTGTTAAGCAATGAAAAATATCCGATAGTAATAATATTTATTCTCGCATCCTTATATTACCAAAGTAACCCATAAATAAAAAAAATGTATTTTATATTCGTACCGAAAGTACCTAAAATCCGGTTTTCGTGGGTGATAGTTGAGCTATCGAAGAATTGCATAGATGTACTGTGCCATAAACCTTCACGGGAGTATACTCAACAATTTCCCAAAGTTTCATGGCGCTCGGATGAACGGTTTAAGAAGGCGGATAAGAAACATACAAACATTCAATTTTTTTATATAAAGATAATAAATTTGAAAACATTTATCTAGACACTTCAATTATTTACCTTGGTAACTTATTTCTCGATTATTTAGATACGATAAAAATATCTTTGTCTAGATAAAACCCAATATACTGGTGATGGTGTATCAGTGAGATGATAGGTACTAGAGATATCTTAAAATCAACCGTAGCCCTCCTCTCCCTACTCCCTAATCATTTTGCATAGTATTTACTAGGTAGGCGATTTTTCTTTTATGTGCTTTCGACATAATAAATATACCTGATAATATTTTAACTACTCAATTATAATTTATTACGATTTCGATAACCTCAAAATGTTTTTAATCAAAGCGCGCAGATACGCTTTGTGGATGTAAACCGCGCGATTAATTACATTACACGGATAGGTACTCGTTTATTATTATTGTGTACTGTTGTGTACACTGAACGGTGCAGTTTACGAACGCAGTATGCAACCACAGTGGTCGATTCCGGATTTTAAATACTCGTATATTATTTTGGTCTCTATAGAACATTATAGCATTACTGTTATGTCCACCGTAATTTTAAACGAGGTGAAATGTATGTAAAAAAACATTTAAATTACAACGACCGGTCTGTCCGCGAAATCTTTCTTATGAAAATAGCGGTTTCGGTGAATAATATTATAATTTATAATAATATATTTAACGACCGGTACCGCAACTACAGTGCTATATTAATATATTATTATATATCACGTTATCGCATGAAAAAATGGCCAAATAACAGTATAAAATCTCGTCTTTCGTTTTTAATTCGATTCGACTCTTCGTGAAAAAACACATTCGATCGATCGACGTAAGTGATGTAACTATAATTTCAATACGCGTGTATTACGTATACAAGTGATGCGCGCAATACCCTGCGAATATTATTTCATTAATACGATTTTTTTTTTTTTTCAGTATTTGATTTAATTGCATTAATTAAACGCGTGCACTGTTATAAAACTTGGGGCGACACTCCTAAACGTACCCGCTATTGCCAAAATTTACAAAATCGAGTTAGTCACCGATTCGCGTGTTACGAAAATAGGGGGCAAATAATCGATTGGTGCTATCTGAAATAATCTCAAACCACTTTTTTCCATGACGAATAGGTTTAAAAATGCATGGAAATAATCCCAAACGTACCATTATCCATGGAAAATAACAATCATGGAAAGACTATTTTGTATTTTATTTTTGAAAACTAACTGAACATTTCCGCAAGTTATTATTATTATTCTAATGAAAACAAAATAACGGTCTTTCTGAACAATTAGGTTTTTGACGATAACGCGTTTTGGAATGTCACCACCCCACAAATATTATGCGAGCCGCGCGACTCTTTTATACGTGCCGATTGGGGATCGTCGAAATTAATATGTATAAGACACAAACCAAAGAATGAATGACAGTTTCGTATATCCGATACCCGAAACCTATAATATAGTGTTGCGTTTGTGATTTTCAATTAGAAATCGACGTTCGTGATTCGTACGTAATAAAATCGACGTGTTATAAGTTTTCTCTTGAAACAATTTCTGTGTAGCAGTAAAGTGGACGGCGGCGAAACACGTAAATACGGATGTTCCACTGCAGTCTCGTGTGGGTCGATATTCATTACGATGACTTCATAAATTATATTAATACTAGGTACGCGTTCCCTATGACTCGTTAAATTCAGTATAATGTTTTGCAACTCCTTTGGTTTTTCGACGAACGAATTCGTGACAATGTACAATGTACCGTGTATAGCATACCCACAGCACTCACGTCGTATGGAAAAACAAAGGTTTTGGAACTATATGAAACATATACAATACACAAACGAACGATCTGAATAAATTATAATTATTTTAATACGCAGTTGAGATAGTCACAAAAAAAAAAAAATATTAAAAACTACAGTCTAAACATATTATCTAAGAAGGCACAAACATAAATCCGTACGTACCTATAATATAATAACTAAACGAAAAAAGATAATCGATCAGCAAAATGATCGAAACTTATTTCGGTGTCCTACGTATTATAGTATACGGTATTTTATGGGAAAATCTATTCTGGTATACCTTTACACGTGTCATGCATTTAGGTATGCGTTATACACAGCAATGCGTGACAAAGTTATTTTTTTGTAGGGAACAAATCCATTTAACTCACTGATTTTACATGATAGTATTAAGACCATTATTTTTTTATTTTCGATTATTCTTGATTTTCGTAACTCTATATTATTGTCTAGTTGTCCAATGTTTTCCTATATGGTTATTATCATTCAAAAAAAAAAAACTAAGAGTCCATTGAGTTTACACTGATAAGTTTAGAGGGGCATTTGACCATTTGTAAATACAATAATAAATTTTATTAGTTTTTGACGTCAAATTGATATCGGAAAAACCTACAGGGTTGGTAATTGGTAAACTATACGACAATAACAATATTATTGTTGGGTATCTAGGTCGAAACGCCTCCCCCGCCGCCCCGGGTAAATCTCACTTTTACATACATGCGCCACTGCACTCCGGTAAGTGGCGTACAATATTATAATACGGTGTAATGTCTATCATATATATATATATATGATTTTGTGTTTTGAAAAGTGTATAATTAATATGTAGGTAAGATGGTTTACGTTTAACATTTCCTCGGGTGTGCGTGCACACGCACTGCTGCATGCAACGTTACGTCCGAATAATTTCTTTTTCGCTCAGAAAAAAAAAACCCAAACCATTGATCAATTATATACGAGTAGTATAGTATTTGTGGTGCTATACGTTTCAGAAATAAGACCTTCACAAAAAAAAAAAAAAAAAAAAAAAAAACAACAGAATAAATAAGATAGACACCGATATAATTTCAATAAAATGTCGTCGTCTAAAAAAAACATACTAATTATAGTAGGCCTTTGAAATACATATACTTTTAAAGACCCCTCTTGGAAAAAATATTGAAAATCCGACATTGTTTCAGACGGTACTTACTATATGTATATAAACATGTTGATTTTCCATCTATAGCTATTTTAAGTAAAACATGTTTCTACAGATTCCAAAGAGTTTTTTTTTTTTTTTAATGTATAAAACCAAGAACAAATGACAATACCATAACCATCTTGGACCGTAAATAGTACGAAAGAGAGATCTGAATGTTGAACTCGGGCTGATAGCTCCGAAAACATCATGCAAAAGTCGAATTTTTATATTTAAATTTCTTTATTGTCCGAGGCAAGGTTTTTCTTACTAATATTTTGTGAGTTAGTGAACAATGATTCGTAAAACAATTATAATAACCAATTATCTGTTATCATTTTGTTTACAATATCTTATATATTATACAATTGTTTAAATAGAAACATTCTATGGAGTATGAAAGCTGACTGTAAATCATTGAGTATTCAAGTAAACTTAAAAAATAAAAACGTTTATCAAAAATTTAAAAAATGTTGATAAGTTTGTTATCATGTTATCGTGATTGTGAAAAAAATATATATGTCTGTTTGCAATACACTAAACTCGATCAAAAAGTACGATAAAACTAAAACATAATAATCATTTTTTAAACAATTTTATTTTTATTGGAGAGTTACGCGATTATCATTTTATAATACAAAATAAATAACAACGAGAAATTGTTATTTCGTACTGCACAAATTAATAATTTTGACTGCACAATTACTTTTCTCACTGCGCAAAATGCGTATCACTGCACAGTAAAAAAAAACCAGGGCCGAGGCACACTCTTGAATTTTGGAATATTTTTTTTTGTCGGTTTTTGTGTGTCCCGTCGGTTACGCGTAGAAAAAACACAACGACGTAGTTTTCTATAACATAAAAAACCAGTTGACCAAACTATACCACAGCCTAGGTTAGACTTTTTTTCTTTTCTTGAAATTTATACTATTTTTATATGCATACGAGTGCAACACCCGCACGGAAAAACTATATTATATTATGCTATACACACAAGTAATATTATCACGAGTCGTGTGTCTGACACACATTCCGTCGCATATCTAATGAGTTTCTCTTTCGGAGACGTTGATCGCAGCCCGTCTGACGGGTCGGTCGGTGTATATGTGTTTTTATAAGTGTATTTGTGTGTGTGAGTTGGCCTTAAACTTCTAAATGCCTAGTCGACCTTGGAATCGACCGGACCTGATCGTTAAAATATTATATAGATATTATAATTATATCACAGTACGTGAACGATGATTTTATACAAAAAAAAAAAGTTTTTAATAAATTTGGTATTCAAATTTAAATTTCTCTTACGGTTTATTAGAAATGTCTAGATAATGGATGAGTTATTAAAAAAAAAAAAAAAAAACGTAAACAAAATTCGATTTTAAAATGCATATGTATTTTGTATTATGAAATCTACATAGAAATTTATATACTCATAAAATAGGACTGTGAATAAAATGCAGTAAACTAAAGAAAAAAATCTCAAAAAAAAAAAGGACTGTAGAAATGTTGAAGATCAAAACTGTAAACAGTAGATTTGATTGAAAAGAAAAGACGATGTTTTAAAACTAGATTCTGAGCGCAGTAAGATATTATGTCTTGGTTTTACTATAAAATGTGTGCATTTATAATTTTTTTTTTTTGTGTGTGTCTGTGAATCTTTTTTTTAGTTTTTTTAATAGTCGGGAAAAAACTTAGAAAAAACGAGAAAATGTACATAAATAACGGTTTCTTATTTACGATTTTTTTTTTTTTTTTGGTATTTTTAAAAAAAACAGAAACATAAAATGTTTTCAAACTACTAATTAATATGTTCAAAATATTCTGTAGATTTTTGACGTTTTCGGGCGTTTTTAGTTTTCGTTTGATAACATGCGAATAAAATTATTTTGGCCGAGCGAAATGGATGTTTGGTTCCTGGGACGTAATATTATAAATCTATAAATCGAATAATATATTTTGTTGAGGGGGTTTTTGATGTATCCAACAGACAATGGATAACATATTCATTAAACTGTGTACGATAAAATATACTACACTGTAGTTTTATAAACGATCGACGGCCATAAACACTATTAAGTACATACTATAAGATAATCATCGCGAATTCGCGACTAGATCCAAAAAAGGTAAGTGTATTACTTAGAAAAAAAATAAATGTTACTTTTAAAATCTAATACGTATATAATGTTTACAACGATCGTTTATTATTTTTAGCAAACTGCACAATAATGATGGTACGTAATAAATAAAAAAAAAAAAAACTAAAAAAACCGCTTTTAAATTCTAATTCCTTAGGAGACGATGAAAACACATCAAGTAATAATAGACTCGTTTATATGTAAACATCTTCTTTTCTTATCATAATTTTCATATTATAACTCATTGAAGGTTGTATACTTTCGAAATTTAACGCGGTGTAAACATTCGATTGTCGTGTATTACATTATAATCATCAAAGTTTCGAGAGTTACGAACTATACAATGAATCATAAGATAGTCACGGACTACAACATCATTGTAACTACACAATTTCAAAATATTCACATATATACACATAAATGTGTGAAATTCTCAAAATCTCAGAAACTACCAGTCCGATAAGCCTATCATTGTTTAACCCGATAGGATTTTATTTAAATTTTTAACATTTTTTTTTTGGCGATTTTTCGGTAGACCAAGTAAAAATATGTAAATCGATGGCCTCAATTATGATTTTTGAATCGTTACGGCTTTTCACAATAATGTGTGACATATTCACGTAATAACCACTGAAATCTATACAGAGTATGATGTTTAAATTAATTTTCGTACTTGTCATTAAATTAAATTCACTTTCCGTTATTGTACAAAAATAATAATTATAATTCCTAAACACCTACTGTGCTATGGCTACATAAAATCGATGAACCAGTGTATCGTAATATCGAATAATAGGTAACTGAAGAACGTCGGATCGGCTCGCCGTCAAGTGTAACTCAAAGTTTCAATTCAAAATTTAGGCCTAATATTGAAATAGCAACGCGGTTAAATTAAACGCGCTAGGCTTCGAGAAATTTCCGATGCCCTAAGCTCAGCACGACATAGCTACAGTATAAATCCCCGAGTATTGTTGTTGATTTTGTAATTTCGCATTGTAAGGTAAGCGCACGTAGATCCGCCGGCCGTATTGGCCGACCAAGACCCGAATAAGCGGTTTTTATAGGTATTAATTTTTTATCGATACGGGCGCGATACGGGGGAGTGGATGTTACCGGATCGGTTCCTATTTGAAACATGTACTTTATGGGTGATCCGAATCGGTTTCCGTTCAATACCTGCATTGATACGATAAACGCGACGCGCGCGAGTACAGTGCAGTACGTTTTTAAATTTTTATTTGACTTTTATCGTAACGCCGCAGGGGGTTTTACGGTTTTCGGGGCGGTGAAATAACGTCGGGTCGGCGTGTCGCCCGAACGCCGCAATCGATTGACACAGCCCGTCCGGTCCATGTGGGAAATACTTACCGTCTACGTATCGATATAAAATACGAAAACATTTCCAGCGTAAAGCCCGAGTGGTTGTTGAGTTGGCGGCCCTAAGCCTACACGAACGGGACGGGAAATGCCACGCGCCCGACGTGTCTTGCGACACGCGAACGGCGGGATTCGACCGGCAGCGGATACGCCGCGGGTTTCGAACGGGAACCGATTCGAATGCACCCCGGAGGGGGTGCACGCTCGTCACCGTTCCGCGGAAACGAAAATACATTTTGGCGGACGGGTCCCGACGAATCGCTCACTCGCTGGTCACATAGCAACACGCAACGTCCGCGGGGGCGAGTTTCGGCGTATTTTTCGGTTTCGCTCTTGACGAAAATTTCACTGCGCGCGATCGATTGTTTTTTTTTTTTTTTTTTTTATCCGTACAAGAGAAGACGTCGCAAAATTTAGGTTAAAATCACGACTGATGCCGACGATTCTTCGTCGCTGCTGCACAGCGCGTTTTTCTCTTTTCATCACTACGATATTATTATCATTATTATTATTATTATTACGACTCTCGAGGAATTCATAGACCGGTCACTCTGGTCACGTACAAGACCAAAAACTGGTTCCACATATACACGCACGCACACACACACACACACACACACACACACAAACATACATATATACCTACACATCAACAGCTCATCCGTGAGCTCTCTCTCCTTTGTGTCGTTTTCGGAGAGCGTATACGGCGGCGGCGATGGTCGGCCAAATAATTATAATTGTCCCGTTCCGCGCGCTCGCGCGTTATCAATAAAATGTTTTCCGAACGAAAACAATCGCGCGGAAAACTCGCACGGCAAACGGTCGCGTGCCGACCGCCCGCACGGCCGTCTCGGCTAGCCGACGTCTTCGTGTTTCCCCTTCCCCCTCCCCACCGTATCATATCGGTCGTATTTTTTTCACTAGGATTTTTCATCGGGCATTTTTCAATATACGGACAGATGTGTTATTGATTTTTTTCATAATAATATATAGGTACCGTTCATTTCGGTCATAAGAACGCCAACGTTGTGATATTCAACAACGTAGAATTTATTATACTCAAACACAATAATTTAATGGTCCGCAATCGAAAATCAAATAACACCGGCATACCGCGGCTATTAAATAAAAATAATAATAACGAGGCGAAATGACGAGAAAAAAAAATCGACCGAGAAAACTGCAATAGCGTTGTAATTCAATACTAGCAATCTTAAAAAACCGGCCATGGTTATTAGCACCGTGGGTAGGCTACTGTTATAGGTGGAAAATGTAAGATATAAGGGTAATTTAAATTATACATTAGAGTGGTCCTTATTTTGCCAATTTCAAAATTTCCTCAGGGACGCCAGTCCATCATTTGCTGTACAACAAAAAAAACCTCAAAGTTTGATGTCATTTGGTCAATATTTAATGGAGGCGCACGGCGTTTTAATATTTAATATCAAAAAGATTGCTTGAAATCAATGTAAATAGTGTAAGTTCGACAATAAGTCATTTAGAATTGATTTTTTTTAAATACAGATAAAAGACCTAATTTAATTTTAAGATCTTAATGTGTTTTTAAGTTATTTTGAGTTGCGACTCGACAGTGCTTTATTAATGTTATATGTTAAATTATTTTGGTATAAAAATAGTTGGTATTGATAGTTGGTTCATAAAAAAATATCAGTTTATTTGTTGATTTCTGAAACTCTTGAAAAATCTAATCTCCATGTATGCGATATCAAAAAAGGACATAAGATCTTAGGATTAAAATAGGTTCTTTTTTTTTTTTAATTAAAAAAAAAAACAAGAATCAAGTGGTGGTCAAATGATTTTGTCACGGGGATGAGGGGGATAACGATACATTTTAAGAACAATTATTATTGTTTACATAAGATATAGCATAGTATACAGAATGATTCAAGCATGTTCACGACATTTGTATATTTAAACTATGCATAAATTCTATTTATAATTTTTGGAATTTTTTTTAAAGTCCACCGAACAACGATATTTCCACATACTTAAATTTTTCACGGCATTTAAGAAGTATCCTGTGCCGATAACCACTTTGGTTTTTCAACGAGATAATATTTTGAAAACGTTGACGTATTGTACACGAAATCTGAACGATCAATTTCTGAGTTATCGTGCTTTAAATAGGTATTAATCATCAACCGTAAAAATAATACTGTTTCGTGTATATAGGTAATTTCTTGTTTTGAATCGTGTAGTTATTACTGAAAACAACGATATTAAGTTATATTGCATTAAAAAAAAAAAAAAAAAAATCAAAATTAACCGCATAGCTCGGTAAACTGATTAGATTATAATATAAGCGTAGAACTCGTGTTTTTCATCCTCTGTAGCAGTTGGAGCCGAAGATAGCACAGAGTAACTCGGAATCCAACCAAACTAAGCGTTCTAAATCCCGAAAATCACGGCCAATAATTTCACGGAATGTCCGAATTCATTTCGCACCACGTGTCACGTTTACGTTATATTATAGTGTATTAGGTTGTATAATATTTATGCGGGAGGTGGTATTTAAATTGAGAAATCTATAATGTAAATAAAAATAAAACGTTTTCCGAATGTTAAGAAAATAACATCACTACAGGTTTCATATTCAAATACATACTGAATCGATCGAACTTTACCGACGTTATGTTTTTACGTGTTCAACTACAGTTGTTTTTTTTCATTTTTTTTTTTTTTTTTTAGAAACTATTCGTCGGAAATTCACTTTTACTCGGGAACCCGTCTGTGCGGTATTTTTTGCCAAACTGTCGACATTTCTTTTTTCTTTTTTTTTGTAGTTAAATCGAATTTACCGTTGGCATAGTGCCGTTGGAACAATACACCGCTCGGGCGATAAACGTACGTATAATAATTATTGTAATTATATTTGTAAGGTATTCAAATTTCTAACCGCGGTATTTGATTATTCGCAGCTGTTTACATCCGATTCGTGTGCCCGCAAAACGACAATAATCGGCGTTGTCGTCGACACAACCGAAACAATCGTTTCGGACCGGAGAAGACATTGTCTATAACAATAATACAAAACTGTCCGCTTTGTCAGTATTTTAACGGGTAAATACTACTCGTTAAGCGGTACGGTGTAATATAATAAGAGTAAGTACATGAAAAAAAAAAAAAAAAAACGGATTTTCGAATTATAATTCAGTTTGTATACACACAATAAAAAGCTAAACGCTAATAATAAGTACACGCCGCGAGACGGTTCGTTCGCGTACGAATTGTGTGTAACGAAACGTGTAATGACACGAATCCAACACGCGTCCAGAATTTTTTTTTTTATATCGTTATTATTATATTATTTATTATTGCTAAATAAGGAACATTGTATACATATATATACGACCGAATTTACTCGTTGTAAGATAACGTAACGAATACAGCAATCACCGTCGACGGTGATGTGTTTAATAACGTAGAGAAATATCTGTCTTCGAATCGCATGTACGACGGAATACACCCGTAGTCACGAAACATACACAATCGAGAAAACAGACCGATCGGACTATCGGATATCGAATACCTATTTATATGCTTATCAGAGGCACACAAATATCACGTACAATTCAAATTATCGTAGTTCGAAAAATTATCGAATTACGCGCCGAAGACGAAAAATAGACGGGGGAGTGCCAATGCTGTAGGTAGAAATTCGAGAATAAATATATTATAGATAAATTTAATTCATGTCTGCACGCAACAATAAATCATTGCTAACGAAATACGATTCTGAGCAAAGTTCGGTAAATTCTTCAAAGTTCAAATTCTGATTTTTCTGATTGTAAAATGTATTTAAAGTAATCTATTACCACCTAGGTACTCCATTTATTTATGGCATTTTTCGAAATTAATTCTCATTTGAAAAACCAAATTTTGAATCACCACAGGATTCACTGCTTAAATGTTGTGAAAAATCTAGGTATTCGAAAATATCAGCAATAACTAAATTGTGTTAAATTTTCGAACATTTTTTCTGGGCAAAATAAAAATTACCAAGAAAACCCTAAGGGAAATTGAAAAATGACCGGCTTATGCACTGACTAGACAAAATGTAATTTTAGAAAATATGCAACAGTTGATGATCCGAGCAAGTTTTCTTGAAACAAAATTGTTTGAAAACGGAATAAAAAAAACACACAGTATAACAAATAAATTTCTCGTTGTGCTCAGAATCTAAAACAAACGGTTTCATGAAGAAAACTATGAAAACACATTTGCATAAATAATTGTAATTAAAATAATATTGTATGTAACAATAAGGAGATCAAATTTTCACTCTGGCCATTTAATCTGACACTGGGCCGGAAAATCTTCTCCGCGACATAATATAATACATTGTAATAGTAAAATTCATAAATTTTTCTTCCTCCGTGCACATGATTTTCTCTCTATATAATGCGTATCGAATATAAAAGTCAAAATTCAACCGTATACGATTTCGACGTGCAACAGAATATCGCAGCATTGTTATTTTCACACGTAGAAATTTAAAGAATGAATTTATTTTTTATTATTTTTTTTTTTCTAATCCGAAAATCCGCTGCAGTAAACATAGGTACACGCGGACATGCGGTTAATGAAAAAAAAAAAAATAAAAAAATAATGTATAATTATAATATTTCAGGTGCCTATCGTAGTTCTTTTTTCAAGTCGCGTTTCGCCGTTTTTGTTTTTGCGACGCCGGAGGAGCGGCGATTATTGGAATGCCGCCAGCGTTCGAAAAGCATTACGGTGTTATTGGACCTATTATAAATGCGATATCATTCATTTGTTACCGCTTCGGGGCGTGTCGAAACAACGCGCGGTCGCGCACAGACTGTACAGAATAAATGCACTTTTTAAATTGCTTATCACTACTCCGGCTGGCTGTCGTACACGAGTGCGCGACAGCCGACAAAATACACGGGCACAGTAACAAACAGCGCCGGTCTCGTCGCGCGAAAGACACGACGAATCCGACGCGTAGCGTAGCCTACGGGCACCGACGGTGTAAATGTTCGGCCTTTGCCCCCGGGGTCGACCGACAGTGTCGAAACGCGTAGGCAGACACGTACGCGCGTTGATTATTATATTATTAATAATAATCGAGGATGACGACCGATTTTCGGTGTTTCTCGCCCGCCGGCCGTTTTCGTCGATAAATCGCGTCGCTGCGGACGCGCAATCGTAAAATTGTCCGGCCGTCATTAGCGGTAGCGAGCACGCGCGGACGAAAACGGCCCGACGAACGCGACGCAGACGGGCGTGAACCGGATTCGCAGTCGCAATTGTCCGCCGTTTCGCCGTCAGAGAAAAAGGAAAAACTAACGCGACCGACAGATTCGAATTTCGAACACTATTAATAAACGCCGCCGGAATCACGAGGACCTATTACGGCACGACGTGTCTGTGTTTTTCACAGATTTCTAGTCATCAAAACGCCTGTGAAAATTATGGCGATAAGTGCAGCGGCGGTTCACTGACTCGTCGTCTTTTTATAAAAGCGGCGGCAAGGCAAACATCTTGAATATTCAGAATCTTCATTGTTGTTTGTCAATTTTAAGCTTCAGTTATCCGTAGGTAATTATTTAAAATAAAAATATTTTTAATACAGGTAAATATTTTTTTTTTTTTTTGAAATCTATCGGTACTATATATGTTGAACGAAATATTGATTTTGAGATTTTAAAATACCGCATAATGTGTACGATAAAATATGCATATTGTATATTATGAGAAAATCATAGATGAGGCAGTGTCGCACTACTCGCATCCGGTGAGCCGCCGATGCGTCGCAAGTGGCTGTTCACCAATTCGTAAGAAGTGATATTAATACCGAATACTGAAATAAATCAATGGATAATTTTGGACTTTTTTTTATTTTTTTGTTTCGCCAAAATAATGCATAATTTTATTGACTCGACTTTTTCTTATTCTCCATTGAGAAATAAAACTATACTATTTAGTCACGGAACGCGCAAAAATGGAACACGTTTAGGACGTAACTGCAGCCAATCGTCATGGAATCGAGATAGTTATAACAGAATATTATGTTCAAAATCCAAAACAATCGTGAACACATACTTCTAATTTAAATGTAAAACAATTATATTTCCATCTATTCCAAAATTGTACGTAGGTATTCGAAATTGTTTCAGAAGTCGGTGCAGTGGCACCCAAGTCCTAAAAATGTAACCGGGTGGAATACATTTCAAACACAGCCCATATCACGTCTAGAATTATGGTTAGCGTTGGTTTTTAATTTTGTAAGGAGGCAACCAAATTTTGGCACGAAATAAAACCAACCTACGTTTAATTTTTAAAAAAAGTTGGCCCAACCTTAATATCTGATACATAGCTGAGTATTAATAAGTTAAAAAATGAATAGTTAAGTTAATTTTAACATGTAACTTAGCTTTTAGACTTTGATTTTACATTAATTTTAATATAAAATTAGTTAAACTTTGATTTTTTCGCATTAAGTTAATTATGCGTAGTTTAGAGTTTAAAATACGTACCTATAGGTACATAAGTTATTTGAAATTTCCGAAATAATCTCTCAATGTTTAACATTGATCATTCGTATTTTCAAAAAAAAAAATAATAATAACAATTTCCAGATTCAATAATTTTTACTGTGACAGTAAAATTGATCACAAAAACTAACTTTAACTTGCTAACATAAGTTAGCAAGTTAATTACTTTTTCAAATTACTTGACTCAATAATACAGACACTTTTCGATCGTACCTTTCCGGATTTTCGTTCTAGTGAAAAAGTATAACAGAGGAATCAATTTATTTTTTAATTGGTACCTACTTGCTGTTACTGTTATAGCTCGAGGTGATGACGTTGGCGCCGTTGTCTGGTGGATATGACCAAATGCTCTGGTAACCCGTTTCCGAACCAGAAGTGTCTGCTGCACCGGCGGTATCATAACCGAGGCCGATGTTTTGCTGTTGTACAGGGTCTTTGAATTCGAAGTCACTCAGACCGTCCGCACCGGCGCTAGGACCGAAGTGCGATGAACTTGATGCAAAGTTCGATACTCCTGTAATGATAGGTATTATGTTAAAGTCATAAAATCAAAAGCGAGTATAAAGTTCGTAAATCGTACGAGTATAAGCGATTGTGTAACAAATGCACTCGGTTTTGAAACGTTTGATTTTTTTCCTTCTGTTTGTTATATTTTTAACTGTTTTAACACATAATTACCTATATCACAATAATTACATCACAAAAATGTCTAAAGTGATCTTGCTTTTATATTATTAAATTAGGTATTACAAAAAAAGAAAAAAGAAAAAAGAACAGTTTCATTTGAATGTATATTACAACAACTCAGTGATGTTTTTTTTTTTTTTTAAGTTCGCAGTCTAGGCCATTATAATATTGCCAGAGACATTTTTTCGAATAAAATGTACCGATTGCGTGTCATTGTACAATTTTTGTTTCCAGTTTTTATTTTCTTTATTCTACTATAGTAAATAATTGCACATGTACACACGGACTTTCGCGTTAAAAAAATAAGAATTTTTAGTTTTCCTTTCAAAAAAAAAAGAAAAAAAAAACATTAATAATATTTTTAAATTGAAACGCAATTATTGGAGCTGCAAATATACGATTTTGAAGAATCGCTATAATATACAAAGAATGTATTTTAAAAAATATCTCTACAAATTTATAAATAAAAACATTTAAAAAGAAAAAAAAAAAAACGAAAGAAGAATATGTAGGTGTACATGAATTGTGTTTGAAAAAATACTGTAAACAATTTATGAATTATGATTAGGTTTAACATAATGACTCGACATGACACACAATTAAATATGAATCGTTTAAACTTAGAAAACTATATAATGCGCTAAATGACATAAATTTCTCTATAAACAGTTTGCTGCGGTTATCTTAAAACGGAGAGTCGTCTGAACCGAGAAGATGCGCTTAAAGCGGTCATCCGAAGTAACTAACGAACGTTTCGTATTATATACGAAAGTAAGAAGTATATTTAATATATTATATTATATTAAAAAGAAAATACTGAACACAAACCATAAACTCGTATGCCGTGGGATTAAAAAATAATAAAAAACAAACCCATTTTTATTACACGAGCTTATACGGTCTTAATAACAGCTGTGCTAAAAGTGCTATAACAATATTAGAATTAATGAAAAATAACGTATGCTCGATAAAATAACTACAAAATACATGTATTTTATTACAACCACCGTATACACAATAAGTAAGTATCCTAAATTAGCAAAACAAAAAAAAAATAGTCGCGGATCTACTTTGGTTATCTTTAAGTATAGGCATTGGTGTTGTGAACCCAACAAAATTGTGAACGAGGAATGGGTGGGAAAGCGGGGAGGTGGTTTTTTTAATATTTTGTTTATAGGGTTTGAAATACGATTACGATGCCACTGGGTGTAGGTCACCGCGATTTCGGATGAGTCATTATTTCGGCGCGGTATAATCGTTTGAAATTTTAACGCGATTTTAATCGAGTATACGTTTTAACACGTAAACTCTTAATAAAAACGATTTTCAGAGTGAAAACGAAACTTCATATTTAAATGTTAAGTCATATTTTCTAGATTTCACTTAGAGCTATAGGTATGGGAAATTCGAAGAATAAGAAAACTCGATTTATTACACAAATAGTTTAAAACTACGAAATTCGGCTGATTTGAGGTCATGCCGTTAAAGTCTATTAAAATTTACTGTAGTCAAACGCTGTTCAATGATTGCCTATACATTTACGGTGGCGCCAAATGAAATTGAAATTGTCAGTTCAAATAATTTAAACATTACACACCCTTCCGACAATTGACCTTCCTTCTGAAGTAGTTATTAGAGATATTATGTAGCGTGGAAATTTCCGTCCTTTCCCATTTAATAACCCCCCTATTCCGTTTTATAACACACCTAAACCGCATTTTAAATGCAACACAAATTGATAAGAAAATAAGTTAATGTAAAACCAATAAAATATGTAAAATAATTTATCAGTTTTGTTGATTGCCATAATGAATTTTGTTTTATAGTACCTATTCGCTATAATATTACCACTATTCAAATTATAAACAGATATATTTTAACATATTTTTTTAAAATTTTGTTGCGCGCAGATATATATATATATATATGCATTGAAGTTAAGTCTGCTTGTTGTACCAGTCCGCCAATTCTACAGTGCGGTTCAGTTAAATTACTTGAAATACGTGTTCGGCACCACTAGCTATATAATGTATCGAAAACATAACAAACACGCATTCGTTGAAATAGGGCAGCTCGATTTATTACTGTCGTAAAAAGTTGTACAGATTGAAAACGTTATGTCCGATCACGATCCTACCGCGACTATAATGTCATACAAATAATATAACTGCATTATAGGCACCTATATATAAATATATAGACGGAACATAATGTATACATACCTTTAGAGACTATTTTGCCGGCGCCACTCAGAATCGTTGGCAATAACGCGGCGATTGCGATGGATTTGATGATCTGCGCGCCGATAATGATCGGAAGCAGTAGTTTCTTTAATCCGAACGCCAAGAAGCCCAAACCGAAACCGGTCAAAAACGAATTCTTCCCAAAGTTGAATCTAGCTGTAGACAAAAATAAATAGTTTGAATATCCGTCGGTATAGAATCAAATGCAGATTGGCCGTTCAACATTTTTTTCGCGAAACAATATTTTTACTGAGACCGGAAAAAATGCGAATTTCGGGTCGTTTTTCAAACACGGATTGCGGACTTTTCGCCGACATTCTTAAATATCAGGTGTTATGTATTATGCGGTGTCGACTTTTACGGCTGCGAGACACGGGTTTATGAATGTAGCGGAAAAAATATCCGTTGAAGCTTTCGGTGTGCGGCGTTGGAGACAAATGGGAAAAATTAATTGGGGCAGAAAGTGTAACGAACGAGGATGTGCTGACCCGAGTAGGAGAAACGAGTTCTATATTGAACACAACAAAGCGGCGCCGATGGGACATGGTGCACCACGCTGTAATAGAAGGCGCAAAGTAAGGGCGGAAACCGCCGGGAAGACCAAGAAACTCGTGCGTATCTCAGTTGAAAAAAAAAAAGACACAAGAATTAATACGTGCGCCGGATTAAAAAAAGGCTCGCTGAAGACCGTGAATAATGGAGGACGTAGTCGAACGCCGTGAACCGACCTGTTACCGGTTTAAAACAAATATATATACGAGGGCTAATCAAAAAGTATCAAGACTGTTAGTATTATTCGGAAAAGGAGCGTCGAAGAGCAGTAGGATTGGTATCACTTGCTTCTATGACTTTTTCTGAGTACATTTGGTTTTATCGCTTCTCTATAAAATTCTTCGGTTTGATTTCACTGATATTTTTGTAAAATATATTTTTCGAGTTTGGCGGTTTTGTAATAAACCCAAAAGAAGAGTAACTTGACGGATTTGGAGATTTAGGAAAATTTGTCCGCATTTTTTTCCAGTTTCAGAGGGATGCAACATTTCATGGTTTTTGCCATTAAATATCAATTGAAAAACTGAAAATGTGCCCTCGAGTGGCAGCGAGTTTCGCTTCTTTTGGATTCATTACGAAATCGCCAAACGTGAAAAACAAATTTTAGAAAAATGTCGTCAAATCAAAACGAAGAAGTTTATAGAGATTTTATACGAATAGATGTGCTCAGTATAAGCCATAGAACGCTCGGTTTCCGAGTAACATTATCGGTCTCGATACTTTTTGATTAGCCCTCGTATATATGCATTATGTATTATGTATTATGTATTATAGGGTGTTCGTGCGTCAGAACCGGATTAACGTAATGTACCGTCCGGGACTGATTCATTATTACGGGACCGTAAATAGTCGAACGCGCGAAACGTTTATGCGTATCTGCTGGTCGACGGACGAATCAGCGGAAACACGGTTCAAACATAGAGACTTATTAGTTTGATTTTTTTTTTTTTTTCCAATATCGTATTTTATACCCGTGCATTTTCGTTTTAAAAGTTTTGGCGGAAACCCCCAACGGTTTTTCTTCGGGGTACCGTAGCGTTCTGTTGTTTCCCGATTCGTATGCCGGCCCCGGCACGCGTTATCCGCCGTCCGGTCGCGACTCGGCCCGTCGGTCCCGGCGACAATCGAATTCAATAACGTCGTTATTGTATCGTGCAGTGCAGCGATACCGGCCGGCCCGCGTCGGTTTTCCGTTATTTTTCACCCCGGTTCCCGTTTCGCTCCGCCCGCGTCAGTGTGCCGAACGACAACAGTGAGGACCGAAAGCGGGCCGGCGGCAAACCAATGAGTTTTCGACCGCGTTGCCGCGCGGGTACGCGCACGGCGCAGCGATTGGACGGCGCGCTGTCCGCTGTAACAGCGCTACGACTGCGAGGGGAGGACACAATTGCGCCGTACCGAAAAATTACGAAAATTCGAAGACGACGTTTTACGTGGGTTTCCGCGTGTCACCACACCCGTCGAGCGCGGCGCGCAGGTTTTTTTGTTTTCTCTTTCGTCCGCGCTATCGAGTTGTTTCAGGCCGGCATAATTGATCGGCGCACGCGGTCGGTCGGACGGACTCTTATCGTAACATTTCAAGTCGTTATTGCCGTTACGGCATTTGTATTCCCGTTTATTGTTTATTTTGGTCCTAAATTGTTTTCCATTCCATCCGCGTAGCTAAAGCGACCCGCGATCCGACGAAAAACAATTTAATTTCCACGCCTCGTTTTACCCGCGTCTAGGTGATGGACCGAGACGAACACTGTCCTGTCTTTTAAGTCGGACCGTACCGCACGTATCCTATCAAAATCGGTCGAGTAGTTTCAGAGTCCGTCGCACGTGAACTCGTACGCGCGATTTTTGTACATACATTTGTACACATAGATGCCACGAGTTTTTTTTTATTGTTTTCAAAGCCGTATTAATCCGTTTGCTATTATAACGCGACCCATTAATATTTCCCGGGTGAAACGAGCGGAACAAAATATCTATTTCGATTTTGGTGGGAACGCTACGCTGCGCTTGCCGACTTTCATCATGTATTAGTTCGTACGTACGCCGCATGCACGTATCGCGCAACCGCGAAATGTTATTATTTTCATTAGGCTTCTTAAACCGTGCGGTCACGCCGTACGTATGTAGATAAACACACGGTTAAAACCGCGGTACTGGTCGATAATAAATTGCAACGCGAGAATATGCATTGCTGGATGATCCGTACACGCGGATTACCGTTACGGTAATAACAAATCGGTTTTCGCAGAACATTCGAGTTCTCGGCAGAGGCGGCGTTGTACGATTTGAAAGTAATCCGTTTCAACGAAACAATAGCGCTGTCTCGGATTAAAAGTATTGAAAAACGATAATCGAAAAATGAATTTCCTTTGTCAAAAACAATAACGCTATTATTACGTTTGCCCGCGACACGCGTGTCGTGTGATCCCATTAAACGTTTACGATTTACTCACGCAATCCGAGTTTGACGAAAGACCTGCCGGCCGATCGGAACATCTCGGAAAAGTCGACGTCCAAAACGTGAGTGCCGGCGTACCGGGCCACCCTGTAGATCAAATACTTCTCGGGATCGTCATCGCGGTAGGGCCGGGCCGCCGCCTCCATGTCCTCGTCGGACCGCGCTGTCCGCGCGTCGACGGACCTCTTGACGCGGACGCCGGGCGCCAGCTGGTACGAGTCGGCCGCGTCCAGCAGCCCGTCCACCGTGTCCATCAGCGCGCGCGTATCCGAAAATTCCGTCTGCGGGACGGCCGCTCCGGCTCCGGCCGCTGCCGCGGCGCAATACAGCGCGACGGCCGCCGTCAGGGCGACCGCGGCGCGCACGTTTCTGCGTGCCGTCATCGTCTCCGCCGTGTAGAGCTGTACGACGATCGGCTGTCTGGGCGCTGTCTACGACCACGTCGACGCACCGATGTAAATATCGACGGTGGCGCGCAACGGCTTCAGGAGGCGGGCGTCGTTCACGACGATGACGGCGGTCCGGCGAGATTCTGAAACCCGAAAGCAAAAACCGTTAAATTTTTCGCACGTCGTACGACGCCTATGAACAATATAAAACAGTATTGGTTTGGCGCTTTGGACTTTAAAACAGTGTTACCAGGAGGAGGCTATGCAGTATTTCGTAAAAAGTTGATTGTTTATGAATACAATTACGATGTTCGCTAACAACTAAAACGTTACCGGCCGATTATTCGCGTCGGCTTCAAAAGATATTATTTTCAAAAAAGAAAAAAAACCGTTCGGGTTCGTTTGGTTTCACATTTAGATCGAATCAACAATATAGGTACAACTTAATGTAGAAACAGGATTAATTTTTAATTGTCAAGGCCCAGCTGAGAGACCCCACTCCTCCCACCCTCAAAAAAAAAAAAAAAACAAATAAGAATATTTTCATTTTACAAAAGTGAAATCCAGGAGTGAGTATTATCCTCTCACGTTGGCTGAATAACCGGAACAACTCGAAAAAGAATCCTGGTGGTTTTATTGTAACCGATATCCTCCTTAAATGTCCTTTAATAGATCGATTTCAAGAGAGAAACAACATCTTTTCAAATATATTATGTTGTAGGATAACTGCGCTCGCAAAGAAATCGGTATTGTTTTAGATTCAGAGCGAACCGGGGAATGCGTATTGGCTTGACTGTATGTTGTGCTGTTTTCTATGTCCGTGAACAATTCCTGTACGGTTTAAATTGTGTTTCAATCAAAAGCTTTGTAGAAACTTTCTCGTAGAATCTTTAACCTAAAGAGAGTTCATTTTTCGAAATCTCTGGTCAAAACTGGGTATTGTTGGCGTGATTTTTTTTTTCGGGGGGGGGGGAACAAATACGACTAATTACAATTTTCTTCGTCTTAAAATCGTTTTTCATTAGCAACGGTTTATCGTTGCGCACAGATGTGAATAAAATGACTGTAATAATAATCCCTTCCAACTTCCCTACTAAAAAAGTGGCACGCCCATATCAGCAGTTTTTTTTTTTTTAAAAAAAATTACGTATTTATAAATACGCGCAATAATTGCGATATAATTGATGATAATAAAACGTGTTACCGCAGTCGTAAATAATAAATCGTAAATAACACTATCGTCGTTTTCGCTGTGATAATATGCAACGAGCGCTTGACGCGATGCATGCGAGTGTGCGGGTGTATGCCGCAGCTGGTTTTATAGACCCGACAGTAATTATTTACCGAGGAACAGTGATATTTTCATGTTGTTTTTTTTACCAATCAAAACGGGGGGGGGAGAGGAAATCAAATCGTCGATTTGGACGGAAACTGAGTCGCGGCGTTGACCGAGTAATCCCGTTTTTCGGACGTTTTTTTTTTATTTTTTTTTTTTTTTACCACGCTCAGAATCCAAACATCAAACGACGCGCGTTCGTCGCTCAGTTCAGAGTCTACGGAACCCTCGCGGCGGTCACACGGCGCGCCACGCGAACGACGACACTGCGGCCGGTGGGGGGAAAAAACAAAACAGCGATAAAATGATTTACGAGCAAAGTGTGTTCGAGTCGGGTCGGTGCGCGACGCGGCATCCCCCCCCCTCCCCCGCGCGCGCGCGTTCCGGGCCGAAGTGGACATTTTCGAAAATCGTCTCGCCTAACGCGTGCAATGGCCGGCGGCGGCGGCGGCATCGCGGCATCGAGTTCCAGCCGAATTCGTGTTTCCGCGTGCGCGCCGGCAAGCGCGAGCGAGCCGCCGCCGAACGCGAGCTGCTTTCTCGTCGTCCGGACAGCCGGATAGCGGGTAGCGGATAGGCAGGCGGACGGCGCGCGTTACGAGGACAAGGTCAACGCGGAGACTGGGTCAAGACCTTTCACTGGTCTTACAGCGGGGCCCTAAACGCTGTCGTCCGATGGCGGCGCATCGCGGCGGCGGGCACAACGTCGCACTCGCCCACGGGCGGAGGGCCCGCGCGCCCCGGCACGCCGCCGGCGTTGTGCGCGCAGCAGCCGTCCCGCGTCGCGTTCCGTTCGGTTTCCATCGAGATTCCAATCGAAACCCGCTCGCGACCCGTTTCCGTGTACTGCAATCGGCCCGGCGCGTATCGTTTTATTATTGTTTACAAACGCACCGCGTGTTTCGACGCGCGGCGCTATTCGAATCTCGTTTTTTCCCCCGAAAATATTTGTCGTCGGACGGTCGGTTCCCGCTGCTACGCCTATTGTACACGCGCGCGCGCGCGCGCGCGTATCACTGCGTCGATTATTCAAGATCCTCGAAACCACGGAGGACGAGCCGCGAAAACAACACGGCCGACGTGGCGTACGGCCATATGCATCGTCCGAGCCAAACGCGTCACGCGTCCGCGAAACGGTTTCGATAAAACGGTCGACAAACCTCGTGTTACGGCACGAGCCCGAACCGACGTGTGCGCCGAGGCTACCGCTCTCGATTTTAGTTTTTTCTAAAACTAAACCGACCTCTACTCAAGCAAACGCCTCCGCTTGATATGAGACTTGGGGTGCCTACAACCCGAAATCCAGTCCTACTACAAATAGATGTTTTCGTACGACGCGTCGACCTGGCAAGGGGCCCGGTGTCAGTGCGTTTATTGTCTCAAAAATAGGGACACCGTCAAAATATATCTTATTCAAAATGTTTCACGATCAAAATATCTTGTACAATGCATGCATTTGAAAGCGTACAGAAATAATTTGCGTACTTTATGAGAAAAATTGTTTTAGATTCTGAGCGGAGTGATTGAGGAGTGAAGAATAGGTTTTACAATGATGTTTTATTATTTTTTTCATACGAACACTTTTTTTTACCAGAAAGCTCATCCCGATTATCAATTATAACACTTTTTCCGAAAGGAAATATTCTCTGGGCGGTACTTCAAAGACGTCATATTTTGAAATTTTCATTAATATTCGAGATAAGGAGGAAAACCTGGTTCTCCGGGTTAAAAACGATCGAAAGATTAAAAATAAGCTTGTCATTGGCAACCGTTTTCATTTATTTCTATTATTATTAATTAAACAATCATTGTTGTCGTGGAAACGCACATTGTTATAATCGTATTACCACAGCATGACATAATACGTCATATTATATTATATTGTTGACAAAAGCGACTCCGCTCAGAATCGTGCCTTCGTTAGCAACGGTCCATCGGTTGCTTACCGGTTGTAGACCATAAATTCCCGCGCGTACCCTACAACAGTCGCTGCGTCCACGTGCGAAGCGTGCCCGTTCTTTTTTGATTTTTTTTATCGTTAACAACATGTTTATACCAACAATTTATGCATTCCAAATCGAGACGAATGCCAATGCGGAACGCTTCCGTTACGGAAACACGGAATTATGAACGGGGAACGCATCGATTTCTCCATCTCGGGAATGTCAACGGGCGCGCGCGCGCCTTTGTAAAAGGAATTACGCGAAAATCGCTTAAATGCATACGGTGTTGGCGCAACAGTACACGTTTTATCGCTGCAATACGTCAACAACATTGTATTCGGGTACAAACGGAATCGAACGATGACGGATAAATCGACCGACCGCTCGACGCACACCAATACTGTAATTCATACCGTAAAATAAATACGCCCGGCGGTGACCCGCGAGAATAAAACGAATTTTAGTGTTCGCGCAGTTATATTTTTCGGCGCGGTTCACCGCGCCTCGCCGACAAACACAAACGGAAATAACCACGCGCCCGTGTCAATTGTCCGTCTGCGGGAATCGCAACCGTATGCGTGTACATGCATTTTTTTTTTTTTTTTTTCTAACAATAACAACTTTATTACGAGTGTTGCTGCGGCATTCTCTTCGGCCGGTTCGATAACCGTGTACGCAATTTACGCGCGACAATTACAACACTCGGGACCACGCTCCGTCCCCGGGACCCTGGACCATGCCTGTGCCCGTGAACTATAAATCGGACGCCGTAACGCGCGGCACAACGCGAGTGTCATAACGGGTGTTATAAGATTCGCGGCGTTCTCGCGGCATTCTGAAAAACTGTTATCTCGTCGGACGCAACAACAGCGTGCGGCCAATCGAATACATTCCGCGAACCCGCCGTAATTGGCCGTTCAAAGTAAACGACGACGGAATTAGCGATTTTCTAGAGAAAAAAAAACCCCGCGACGCGAAATTAATAAATATTATACAAAACGCGATAACACCGATCGGGCGTGTAAATGGTGTAATATTAGTGGTGTACCTCCGTCGATTTATCGCAGAACAGTGGCGAATGTTCGCGACCGTCTGCGGCATCGCCCCCCCGCTACTCGGAAATTTTTGGCTGCGCTCTTCTCGTCGCGGCTGTACGCTGTACCTAATGAAACGGTATAACATTTAATAATGTTGATATTTATTATTTCTTCGGCGTTTACGTTCAACGACGGTACCAACGGATAACGATAACGATAAACGGAGGAAACCTGTGTGTACCAATACACGGGAATATCGACGTGGATGTCCCCAAGCGGTAGTCGCAGATCGGTTTGCGGAGAGAGAGCGAGAGAAAAAAAACCAAACTAATATTGCTTTAACGTTGTTGTAGATATTTTTGTATACGTCGAGTGCGTAATTGTTCGACATGAATAATATATTGTGTATATTATAAATAATAAGTACGCATTTTACGGGCGAGAACCGAGATCGCGCAAATCTCAGAAACGCCCGGGCAAAACGCGAAATGTCCACGATACTTGGACAAAAAACGTCACGTTTCGGCTTTTGCCCGGACGAACCTGGCAGTGACCGACCTCATTCCGGCAAAACTGTAACGTCCATAAACTTCCAATTTCCACAGTAGACAGTTAGTATTTACATTTGCATTTATATTGTCCGCACAATGTGCCGTAAACCAGATCCGTCCGCGCAAACACCAATTTATTAGTGAGGAGAGCGAATATTGTAAATATCATTGTACTTTTTTAAATTACGAATACGTTTTTGTCGATATAATAATATGTCAAATGTATTTTTAGAATATCGGAATAAAATTCTTTAAATCAACATAATCTATTTGTAATTATGTATACGTATAAAAGCCGAATACCACTCACTGATCGCTATATCTCAAAAACTACACGACCAACGGACTAGAAATTTGGAATAGCGGTTCTTTTAACATTCTGAATACGTGCAATAAGTAAGCATTTTAAAAAATATTGCGTTCAAGTGGATTAACAATTCATCGCCAAATACGTTATTAATTTTAAAAAAATAAGCGGCAAATACGCACATAAAAGTGTATGTAGGTATTATTTATGTATTTTTGTGGATTACCACGGTAACACGCAGAGTCGGCAAGTAAGGCAAGTGGACCCTACGGCCAGGGCCTCGCGCTTACAGAGGCTCCGCGCTTACAGACCCATAAAAAAAGGGTACCGTAATTATAATGGGTGTAAAACCGAAAAAATAATTCTTTTAAAAATGTTATGATGTTTTTGGGAAAAACACGTACGCGCGCGTTGTCTCATTAAACAGTGTCCGTAGCCAAGTGTTTGGTATTATTGCAATTGTTAGATGAAAGCGGTGGTACGCTGATAAAAAAGTCTCACAAAAATGAATTTATCCAGGGCCCTGATAACACGGATACAATTTATTGTTATGAATTACCATAGTAATACGGATGAAATAAAAACAAATTTAAAGGTCGGTAACACGGATGAAAGAAAAAACTGAGTGAAATATAAAATAATATCAAAAATATTTTGCATTACAAAACTGTCCACGGGCGAAGCCGGGTAACACAGCTAGTACCTAATATAATTATGTTAATTTTATTGTTATTAAAACGTATTGAATCATATTTAACCATGCTGGAACAATAGTCTATTATTTTATCGTTATTTATATGTAATAGACATTAAAAAAAAAAAACTAAAAAAACATGGTACCCATCTACCGTGAAAAATTAAAATTAATGGACGTCACAGTTTTGCCCAAATGAGCTGTTGGTCACTAGCTGTTGGTCCGGGCAAAAAGCGAAATACGAAGTTTTCTGGTCTTTTGCACAAGTATCGTCGACACTTCGCGTTTTGCCCGAGCATTTCCGAGATTCGCCTCATTCCGGCTCTTTCCCGTAATATAAATATAATATATAATTTTTTTTTTTTTTTTTGTATAATATTAATAGTTTATACATATAAACTATTTTTTTAATTGGCAAGAAGAGAAATTAAGAAAAAAAAATTATAACTGTTGCTATTTATCGGACGAGGAAACTCCTCGCGGTAATTTGTGATGTATTATAATTTGTAAGCAAACTCCCCCCCCCTTCTTGATTGAGCTTCAGATACGTCACTGGTATTGACAGGCTGATATAGGCGTGCCACTTAAGTAGGTGGAAATTGAGGAGGTTAGATATAAAAAGTCATTTTATTTATATAAATCACTGATAACAAAATACGATTCATAGCGAAGTTCGGCTATATATTCGGTTTTAAAATGTAATTTTTAAGATTTTCTTCGAAATTTGACCTTAAAATGATTTTTAAAAAAATAAAAACAAATTAATACATAATGCTCATTTTTTTTTTTTAACATTATATCAAACACATAATGATGAACTTCGTGTTAAATTTTCATGCATTTTTGTTTATCCAAAATAAATTTATATTCATGAAATCAAATAAAAACCAATACGAATCGTATATGTCAAATGCCGTTAAATAACACAGAAAACGCTTGAATTTATTGGAAATTATACGATATCCACAAAAGCTAATACAAGTATTGTGTACGAATTTCAGGTCAATATGGTTATTTTTAACCAAATAAAAACAAAATCGAAATTATTGAAAGTGTTATTTCCGTAAAAATGTCCGTTATTTTGTGAGTTTTTTCGATTTTTCAAAATGTTAAAGTAAACTTTAAGGAAATTAAAAAAAAAAAAAGGTGGCACCAACTGGATCAAAATACTACTATAAAAACTCTCTTGTCGGTTTTTAGTAAATTGGAACAAAATTTCTAGTGGAAAAGTTGTTTACAGACAAAAATATCATAATAAAACTAAATACATTTCTCGTTGCGCTCACTATCTAAAAAAAAAAAAACTATTTTACGGCACACGCACTATTTCTCCTGATGACTAACATCAACATGTTTTATTACAAGTTTAAAGCCGATACTTTAAATTTAGTCCCAATAGATGTAATATGTAAATCAATGGGAAAGTCAGTAACTTCAAATTATAATTCAGATATTGTAGTGCAAATTTTTTTCAATATAATAATAACTAATAGCCTCCAATTTATAATGTTCTAAAGTGAAAAAAAGTCAAGAACCACCAAATATTTTTTTTTGATTTAAAAAAAAAACCTTATTTAAAAATTCAAAAATAACCATTTTATAGAGTTATTTATTTGAAGAACGGAGGAAAAAACAATTTTGAAATCAGGTGAATTTTGAATGAATGAGAGTAACTTCTTTTTCCAAAAATACAGCATGAACAGTTTGCCTACTTTATATTACTTTTGGATTAGCGTTACACTGTATTGCAATATTATGCTGTATTTTTGGAAAAAGAAGTTTCTGTCATTCATTCAAAATTCACCCGATTTCAAAATTGTTTTTTTCTCCATACTTTAAACAAATAACTCTACAAAATGACTATTTTCGAATATTTGAAAAATTAAAAAAACATTTTAACGGTTCTTGACTTTCTTTTATTTTAAACCATTATAAAAAGGAGGCTATTGATCATGAAAACTCCACTAAAATATCTGCATTAAATTTCGAATTACAGCTACTGACTTTTCAATCAATTTGCATATTGTATAGTATCGACTAGCGATATCGTTTAGAACCAACGACACATACAAATCTATGAATGATAATGATTGATTTTGATATCAGATAGTAAATAATAGGTACTAAATAGATGGACCAATGTAAAGTTGTAAATTGTTTGTAAATGAATTTCGGTATCTGTTATTGTTGTTAAGTAATGTAGCCAACCTTATGATATGTCAATGTTTGAGTAAAACAAATATACGTATAATAGGCATGTCACTTTACGTCGTTCAATGTTTCAAAACAGAAATTTGTCGGTTATAATCAAATTGTTTACATACCTAAATATGAAATCATTATTTTCCGAGGAAACGTTTTCCTTTATTTCAGTCTCTTTAACGACAAGCGGGCTTAAATAGGGTGTTTTAAAGTAAGTAATTTACCTCGTGTTGTTACACATTTATTTCCTTGTAATTGTAAATTTTGGTAGATTGTTTAAAATAGAAAACACTCGTGTATATATTATATTTGTGTACGAAATCAGAGAATGTCATCAAAACCACTTGTGTCACTATCGATCTCGTCACTTGCATTGTTCTCGCTGTCGCTATCTTCATTTGGAAATATTATGTACTCAAATAAACACATAATATACAACGAAGCAATATGTAGCGGTATCGATTTTACTTATTTAATAGCAATTCGAGGCCACTAATTATTAAAAAGTTGCGTATAGGTACTCTAGTTCTTACCACAAACATAACTTCTTTGGTCGTGAAGCAAAGCGGAACAAATATAAAAAATTAAATTAAAAAATGTTTTTGTTTTATTTTTTTTTATTACAACATTACTGAATAAACATAATACTTAAGATTGCCCAAATAAGTTTTTTTTTTTTTTAAAGAGCCGTTAATTGTTTATAAAATGGTGTACTTTGATTTAACGCTGTACAAATATTTTATTTTTAAACACCTTACCAACATTTACAGTTACAAGGTAATAAATAGTGTAACTAAAGGTTAACTACTTTAAAAAACCCTAGACAAGTTTGGCTATAGTTATGGACACTAAAATGTCTTTTAATTTTACTGAAGAATAATAATTTTAAGGTATGTAAAAAAAAAAAGAATTAACTTACGACCAGCAAATTTCTTTACGTCGTTTTATAAATCGTACATTTAGACGTACATAAAACACAATTTTATTTCAACTTTTGTTCGGGTTTTTTACTTATCTATACATTTTGTCGTACCTAACTTAGAACAAGTATGCACAAATGTTATTATGTTTAAAATTCGCACGTGTTTCCGAGTTTTTCGGTCATATTCATGTCCGAATCACTTACCGTTATGGAATATTAATAGATAATTTGATGTATATCATCAGTGTAGTCATTATCATAACCACAATTCCCGTAGATCGTATGTTATTAATAATTATTATTACCTTGACGTTTGAATAAAAATTGAATAACGGTTGTACAAACCGGTCGATTGTAAAATTGTATGTTTTCTGTCATTTTTTTTCATTTTTTTTTTTTATAATTTTAATTTCCTAATGTGAAAATCAGAAACTAACCCTATAAGAATTGCGTACCCTTTAAATATACGTGGTAAGTCGGATGCGTCTATATACGGAAACATTGTATAATATGTAATGCCACATATATGTACATTACATTTTTATTTTTTTCAAATGATCGACAAATCACAGGTTTATCACGTGCCCCGAAAAATTGTTCACCAACAAATAGAAAAACAAAAAAACACCGCTGGGACAAATAATAGTATGCAGTCGTATATTGAAGTTACCGCTCAGAATCTAAAATCGTGATTCGTGATGTTTTGAAAGTTATATACCATTACTTTTTACAGTAAAAAAATATAATTAAACCTAGATTTCACCTACAGCATAACTTAGGTCAGTAATGTTCTACATTTTATACTCAACACATAAACATGAAAAAAAAGACCTAACATCTGAAGGTTGAAAAAAAATACAATCTCGCGTTTAAAACAGAATGAACCGAAATATTCATTGACAATTCAAAATGATAAATTTGCGAATATTTTTTACAATCGTATAAACGAATCATTTTTAGCGAAAGCCCAACAGTTACTTGTTACGGATGGAAAATTAAAACATATATACTTGAATAAGTAACACACCTTAAACAAACTCGTTCGAATGATCTAGTCGTGGTATGAGGCCAATCCAGTTCGACCACGCGATTTAAATGTTTAATATTATTATGATTAAATCGTAGTAATTCTAAACGGCTATTTGAGGTTTCGAAGTTTTTAAATTTCAATATATATATATATATATATACACTACAATTATAGTGCGTCTTTCAGATTTTGTAGTTTTACAGGATGATCAACAAATGAAAACAAATTAAACTAATGCTATGTGTTATTGTTTCATGCTAATGCAATATGCACTATGTTGATGTTTTAATACAAATGGTGTTATAATTTTCATGATTTACAATTTAACCACGACTGTAAAAAAAACAAATTATGGAACAAAACATTTTCGGAAACACTTGCTATATAAAGATGAATTATGAAGATTAACTTACAATTGAGGTTAGAAGATAAAAACCAAAAAAAAAATTAAAATCAGTAAATCTAAGCCCGGCAAAATTCAGAACACACGGCCTAGATATTTTTCAAACCTACCGTGAATATAAGCGAGAATATAAACGGGAAAAATAAATTTCCAAAATTAGCTAAGAAATGTATTTTATCCAAGATACTAAGATACTATGTGCTTTTAACGCTGTTTTGTCAGTAAAAAAATTCCGATTTTATCATGGCTTCCAACTACCTTGAGAGATGTGAACTTTTTGTCTAGTGGTTTATTTATTTGAAACTAGATTCTCAAACATTTTTCGAAAAAAAATAAATAAAAAAACTGACAACAATAACTGTCGAGATAATTGTTTTTTTAATTAAATCGATACGCATTAGATTTATTTTTGTAAATTTTTAGATTACCTCGATTTCACGAGAAAAAACACGACTAACAAAGTTTACCGAGCTCGGCTAAGAATAGTTTTTTGATTTCAGTTATTGACCGTTGCTTTTACGCGATACATAAACTTAATTACCCTTTGTCTTGTACGTTCCAGACTTCCCACCCACAATGATGACTTACTCATAAGTAAGTCCTAATCGTTATTAGTGCAACACGAATGTATCCTAATATTATTACATAGTATAACAATAAACACGATAACGATTATCGAATCAAACACGTGAGTTTTTGCACATAATATTTGAAAAGAAAAAAAAAATGCCCGATTGTTTTACAAACTTTTACGTGCATGTCTACACCGCATACGGCACACACACACACACACACGCATACACACGACACGATAAACCAACCTGCTGTTTGGAGAAAGTATGAATTTCGTTGAAGTGTTGCAAGAACGTGATGGGTTTATAGTGAATAAAGAAAGGTTGCAACGACGTCATCGATGACGATTTAAAATACATATTTTTTTTTTTCTCGATCACGTCTGACTAATTGGCCCAATTCCCAGAATTATCCATCGTAGTAATTGCTGTCCGGAATCTACGTAAATTCTAGTAATTTTAAAAAACTAGCGCGATGACTGTTATTAAACCAAACAAATTATGCTGTTTAGTTATAATAATTAATTTTGTTGTGTGAGTACCGAATTGAATATGTTCAATTTCCGTGATGAAACAATGCATTTATCCGATGCATATGCAAAATCGACCATTATAAATCTAATACAGTCGATTGATGAACAACGTGCATAGCATACGGTCTGTTGGTAGAGTAACACCAACGATGAGAAAAATGAAACCGAAAATAATTTGTTATGATTTTTCGAGATCCGTCCGTCCGGCGTTTGGTTGAGCGACGGGAACCGAAGAAGCGACAGACCGCTAAGCAAAACGGACTGGCGGTTATTGAGTGAGACCACGAGTGCCAGAGCGTGCGTCGGGTGTACGGGGGAATTATATTTTATTACGGCGGTGAACGCACGGCGACGCGGAAGGCGGTGGCGAGAGGAGCGATGGCAGTCGGGCCCACCTGCGCGGGATTGTAATCAAAGGCGAAGGGAATTACACCGAAGAGCGACCGGTTCGCAGGGTATGCGCGTTCGGGGACGAGACGTTTTCTTTAGTAATCCGCGCGCGTAAGTCATCGCAAAATCGGTAAACGTCGTCCGCGAACCGAAAACATATTACGCACGCGGTCGCGCGGAAACCGCATCAACGGGCTTCCGGTCAGGATCTTCTGCGGCCCCCGGACACCGCCCGGCGCGACTTGTTTGACACATCCGAGCGGACGAAATCGCGTTTATAGCGCACACGTGGGTATACAAGACTGTGTGCCGCTGAGCCTCTCCCCGCGGTTAAAACTGGTCGGCGTTTTCAGGTCATCGTTTTCGAGCCGTTCGCCGTTATTATTATTATTCATTTTTTTTTTTTTATTATTTATCTTTCTTCCGGTTGAAAAAAAAAAATAAAAACAGGATATATGTATATATATATATATTCGTATAAATTGAATTAAACGAATAGAAATATTTCTCTACTATATCGTTGTACAACAGACTTTTTTTTGTCAGCTCAGTTATTGTATTCAAAGCGCAATTATGTTACGTCCGTGAAGCCGGCCCTTACACATTGCCGACATAAATCCTGAATGCGAAACTGTGTACAAGTCTGTGCCCGGAATTTCAAAACAAAAGAGTCTAAACCAATTAAGGATTCGTGCAGCCCTTACGTGTGATCTTTTAAATTTCAAATTGGCATACTTGTTAATGCCTTGGATATGCATATCGGCTATCCAACGAGACTTACTACATCTTAATTCTTAATGTACATTTTACTATTATCGACGTATAAAGTTGTGTTATAGTTTACATAAATTGTAATCCTGTTGACATGTACAGATACCGATGATAACACATTTTTCGAATGCACAGAGAATGATTCAACGGTTAGGAAACGCGACGAGGAAACCGCGGAATCAACGAGCCTAAAGGCGGAAAAAAAATTAGACGACGTCGACGAAGAAGCGATGGATAGACGAAGTGGAATAAGACCCGAACAAATCGGATTCAGTGTATTGGCAAAAGAGACTACATAATCGCGAGCAGGTGAAAGCAGTGTCGTCGACGACAAAACGTATGGAAGAGTTGTGAAGCCAGAAAGAAGAAAAAGAAATGTATGTGTTATTTTTACTGTAAGCTTTTACATCGTCGATAGAGACTGTCGATCGATTTTTTTTTTGTGGATTTACTCTTGTTCGGAAAAGTGATTTGACTATAATAAAGTTTGATAATATGTTAATGTGTTGACTGCGATCTAGCTGACTATTTTTGATTTTGCAGCGTATCAATAATCGCCGTGAATCTCGAAAACGAACACGACAAATCGTTTGTCAGTTTCGATAATACAATAATATCATTACCGTGGTCTTCTGTGGACTGTCAACTATGATATGTTTCGCGAACGAAAGAGCGAAAAACAAGATGATAATATAATAAATATATTGAAAACGATTATGATATTACACAACGGGTCGATGGCGGATTATCACTGGCGCTCAGATATGTGAGAAGAAGGAAGGGCGATTGATCGAACTAGGAATCGTTTCGAAAACAGTGTGCTTACCTACACATAAAGAAAGTCATGGCCATCGAAACAAAACGGAACAACCGCAATTAATTATATATAATATAATCGTCTCCGTGGTAGTTTTTCTTTCCGTGTAAACACTTTGTGTTTATCCAGATACTATAAACACTAATCGTGTTAATTGGACCGAACCTTCCGCCGTCGCGTGTATACAGAGTGCGCGTAATGAGTACTATAACTTAAGTAGACGAATAAAATACACGTGCGCGGAAAACAACGACAATTGGCTGCAGGATGTTCCGTTCTCGCCGTACGTAGCGCGCTGACACGATTCACGCAGCGGATAATGCGTATCATTATCGGTTTTGTATCGTGTCATCGGTCGTACTTGAACTTGTTATGGTAACTATGCTTCTGTAACCGTTTGATAAAAAAAAAGATGCACTTGGGTGGTAGGTTTTACACAGTCGTGTGGTTTTTAGAGTTCTGGTTTGGACGTGAGATTTTGGAAAAAATGGAAGATGAGTACGAGTCAGTAAGAGTTACGTATGACACGGAGGGAAGTGTTGTCGCGTGTTATCGAGGAATAAAAATACAATTTAATAAAACTGTCGCGAGATCACCGATAATGCGCGGGCCGTCTGGGCCTTGAATATAAAATAAATGTAATAGTGACGAAAGTTGTAGAAATAAAAACGTCGAGATTGGACGTGCGGTGTAACGAGGTTGGATATAGAACTGCATACATATATATACGAGAAAAACCGGAGAAAAAAACGACATAAAATAAAAATGTCGAGAAAAGAAGAGACGGTTAAGGTGTTGTACATAATGAGATAGTTAACGGAACGGGCGAGATGAGCGCTGGTAGTGTCCGGGGAAGTGATAAGCCGTCGCGGACACCCGTTAGTTGTCGTCGTTCGACTACGAGGAGATAGTGACGGCCGCGGAGGGTGGGGGGGGGGTTGGGGAAAACTGTGAGATCGGCCGAACCCGCTGAACACGTGCGCGGGGACGCGAATCGAAATTGTAACGCGCGCGCCGTTGAACAAATACAAACGGGACGTTGTCGCTGTACAGGGGGACGCGCGCGATACATCCATAACGACACGACAAACACACGGCGCGCGACATCCGGAATATTGCGCGTCCCGTGCGTCGTCGGTGATGCGCCGCGGCGTTCGTCCGACCGGGACAGAAACGGATTGCGACCGCGTTGTCGTTATCGAAGAGCTCGCGAGACGATCCGACGGACCGGATCGCCGCGGTGCCCGCGCGCCCGTATCGTCATTTGTCGGCGGGCGCAGCCCGACGGACTGTCCGAAAGAGAGAAACCGAAAACGGACGTTGTTGATTCGCATAGGCCGTAAGCTTTTTCGCCACCCGGAATACGGTCCGTACCGTTTACGTTTTAACAACGCGCAACCGGACCGTTTCGACGCGCGACAAGCCGGTAGACGTTTCAATCGCATCCCTACGCGAAAATCAATGCAACGCTATCGGCGCGTACCGTGCGATTGCAGCGTCGGAACTGACGGCCGTAATATGCGTTACGACAAAAACGAAACGCAATGTTTAACACATTGTGGACTACAAACTCGCTCTCGACGCGCAATGCGAAAATGTACATTTCGTCGAATTATTATTGTTCAGACGCCTTTCGACGCGTTCCGAAACGGTATTTTCAACCGTAAACGGTCGATTTAAGTCGGTGTCGTGAACACGGGTTGATATTGCATACAATACCCGTTACATTTAACAAACACGCACTCGAATTTTCTCGTTGAAACGTGCGCACGGCGTTTTGCAGTTGTTGCCCCCGCTTGTCGCTCGGCGGATATCATAGACGCGGGAAATCTCGTTACATTGTTCTTACACCCGCCGTGAAGTTCCGTCAATGGACGGACCCTTCTCTCAGAACATAAACTGCCTTGACGCAATAGATATTGAATTGCCTAATTTAATATGTTTGTGTTACCTACATGAATGTCATTTGTGCTTATTGTAAAAACAATACTTGCGGATTATACAATTTTAAAAATAAAAACAAAAAATAAAAAATAATATTGTTCTTGCTGTTCTCGCAATTGTAATATCGTTCGGAATGCGTATCATACTTGCATACGCGTTTACCTGAATACATTTCTACGGTCGCCTTTTTGTTTTCGAATCGGGACAATTTCACGTTCTTCGCTCATAGCTCAAAAGCGGGGCTGATGCAGGGTCCCGTTGGTCGTGTGTAACATGATGTTTATCTCAGGTTCAAAACTAACATTAAATACCTACTGTTCGAAATCCTATCGGACGCGTGTTCGACATGCACTGTAACTATATAAATAAATATTGTACACCTACATGCGCGGTTTAACGTCGCATTTTGCACCCGCGAGAGATACGTCAAGATTGCAAAAGCACAAAACGAACGAACGCGGTAAATCTGCGGTTTTTTACTGGGCACCTACCTGATGTCTCTGTTTTATACGATCTATAATATTACGATTCGCCCACTGGCGTAGACGGGATTTCTCATTGCAGCGGAACGCGAAAACGCAGACTCGAAATATCGTACGCTAACATTAATTTCCATAAAATTAAATTTTGAAAATATACTGTATTTAGAACCCGCTTGCCCAATCAAATGAAACATTCGACGACTCACTACGCACGTTATCTTGTTCGTTTTCCGGACGAAACCGCTGCTGCCGGGCCTCGCTGTTGCTCCAATCGAAATTCGTTCTTATCACTCGGCACTCGGGTCACAATAGCACGCGCGCACCGTCGATGTATTAATTTCCAAACGTTATTTGTTCGCGAACTCGACGAGACGACCAGTCATCGGTGGGTGAAAAAAAAAAAAAAACACGGTCGTAACAATATAAAATAAAACAAAATAAACCGGACGCGATGGACGTCGTCGTGGTAGTCGGCGCGTGCGGTGCGATCGAAGACTGACCGGCGTATGGTTCGGCGGGAAACGTCGAGATGCGACCGCGAGACTATCGGCGCGTGCGCCCTCCTCCAATTACCTTATTGTCATAAAAATATTACTATGTACGTATCGTATTAAAAGCGGTCTACCGGTTGATAAAATAATAATAATTTTACCTAAATTCAAAGCTAAGCAGGTTGTTGTAGTTTTTTTTTTTTTTTTATAGAAATATCTTAAATTTTAACAAAGTAACTAAGTTATAGTAAAATTAATTACTAAAAGAAACAACCAAAATATTTTCTGACATCTCGTTTTTTTTTTTAACCAAGTAGTTAAGTTAAAAGTTTTTAAAAAAAATAAGTAACTAATAATTCAACTTTTAAATTTGTATCTATAGTTACTACCCAGATTTCCCTGTAACGGATATTAAATATTATAGTTTCCTACGGCATTGCTATATTTTTAGTTCCGGGTATTGTTATTTCATAGTTAGAAGTTTATAGACAGTACTACTAAATATATAGTCAAGACCAATATCGTCTTAAAGCGTTCCAACTGAATTATATAGGTAATATAACTACAATATCGCCTGTCGATTTTACTTTATAATTAATTATTTGCCTTAGTTAAATTATTTGAAAATACCAAATAAAAATACAGATCACATCAAAATATATAATTAACTATTAAATTAAATTTTAGTTAATTTAAGTCCCATAAAATTATAGTCAACGCTCTGAAATAATTCAGTAAACGTAGTAAAAGTAAATAAATATAAATTGCGTATACAAACTGTTTTAAATAATATTACAATAATAATTTAACTACATGATAATTTATGATATGTTAATTCAGTATTTTTATTATGAATTATACATTCAGATTGTTATACATTTAAAGAATAATTTCAATTTCATACCTATTAAAAAACAGGAAGTAGGTCATAGGTACCTAACCAAATGAAACTTTTGCTCTTATAATGGAAAATGGAAAATAAAATGAGCTAATACTGGAGATGGGAACGGTCACTGTTGTAGGTGAGAAGTTGGGAAGGTAGGATACATAGGGTTATTTCATTCATATTAATTAGCAACGATTGCTTGACGAAAGACGATTCCTAGCGCAGTTCGGTAATATATAATTTGAAGTGTCGTAATTTTTTTACGATTTTCGTTTAAATTTTATTTCAAAACGCTTATTAAAAACCAAAAGTAGTCCGATGATTTTGGAAATGTTGCCACGTCTAGATAAGTCCAATATAAGTATTATTACCAAGTTTCAAGTTTCTACGTGTATTTATAACCGAATCACAGCAAAAAACTACCAAAAATTCCTTAAAAGCTCAATAGTGGCTCAAAAGTTTTAGCAATGACACTGTAAGAATGTAAATCAAAAAGGTTAAAAAAAAAGATATCTTGTGATTTTTCGATTAAATCATTTTTCCTGGTAGAAAACGTCATCTGTGTTTTTATAAAATAACGAAATCGTGAAATTGTACGTTTTTTTCCACTTAAGTGCTTTTATTTAAAAAATGGTATTGGAAACTAAAAAATGGACTTTTTAAAGTACAATAAAGACATCTTGAGCTTTCAGAAAAGTTGCTACGCGGAGAAATCGAAGCAAGTTTACTAAGAAAAAACATGTCCACAGACTAGAACAAAGAAAAAAAATTAAATAAACATCTAAGTGAAACCAATAGATCCCCTCGCAATCCTAAACGATTATAATTATCTGTATATCATACAATATATAGCTTGATAAAGTTTATAGGTACTTTATAATATTTAAAACTTAGGTATTAAAAAAAAAAAAAAGAAAGAATATTTGGATCTTCACTTAATTGTAAAAGGACTGACATATTATTATAAATATACAAAAGATCTTTAAGATTAATCCAAGAAACAAATAAAATATTATTAGTCAAAAAATCAAAACTATTATTTAAGAATTCAGAATTATTTTATTCGCTTAATTTTGATTCACGTATTTAAATATGGCCTCCTAATTTAGTACTGTTTATTATTTATTTATTTTCAATTGGTGAAATTCTATAGTCTACAGTAAGCTAATGTTTCAAAGCTAATGTATAACGTGCATTCTTTCTGGATGCTATTGATTAGGCTGTTTCTTTAAATTCCTTATGTTTCAAACCAAACCACATAAAACATGATTATGATAATGGACCACGTATATTTATTATCATTCGATAATTTAGGTAGCATCATAACAACTCATGGTGTTCCATTATAAGTGTTTTACAAAGGTCTATGTGATCATATTTTATATTTTTGAACATGGTTATAAGGATACATAAACAACGCCTAGTGTATTGTTTCCAACATGAGATCCTATAATGCATTATTTATTTCAAAATCGTCGAAGTACAAAAATAGTGGTATATAGAGTAGATACCTATGACGGTTATGCTACTATTGGATCCCATTAACTACAAGGAAAATCGATAAATGACTGCGCTTATGCATAAACTGAACAGCATTTGATTTAAGAAAAGATTCTGCACTTGAAAAGTTGTTAACGGAACAAACATAAAAAGCAAAAATCGTAGAAAACCCAATATAGATGCTTCGTTAAAATTGAAAATATCGACAAATCAAAATCAAAATTTCAAAACTGAAGCTCATTGTTGTTTTTAATACAAACGTTGAACCTGTTAGGAAAACCATGTCTTATAATAAGCTAACAAAAAAAAAAAAAAAAAATTATATATATATATTTGGTATAAAATAACAGACCTACATAAAAAAAAATGGAATTTTTTATTTATAACAAATATTTATATGCATTCAACGCAGCTGCAGTTTTTTTTAAATTCACATTAATTGGCTGAAAATATACTATAATATATGAAACATTAAAAATTGTTACAATGTATAATGGATATAATATTATATAGGTTTTTATTTTTAACTACGTGTTACGAAAAACCGTGGGTGTATATTAAATAACTTAAGCTCGTCTGTTCAAATAATATGTTACACGAATGCATGTAATATATATATAGGAAGGAGGAGCAAATGGTGAGAATTATTTGATTTTTTCTCACAATGAATGTGAGCCGGGTATTATCATTAAGTTCAACTGTCTTAACTTTTACCGTTTTAATCGGTATTCTCGAACAACCCAATTGTAACTGTTTACTAGTGTTTATTATTGTTTGTTGTTCTCGTGGTAGTTTTTAAATTATCAAAATCGACTTCGTTTTACAGACGAGTATAAGCATATTTTATTCTAGTAAATATAAATAACAATGTGTATTTTAAGTAAACAAAAAAATAAAAATACTTTAACTTAATTGATATAAGAAACGAAACGGTTACATCGGATGTATACGTAACAAAAAAAGATACAGACATACTTCACATAATGGATGGGCCACTGTTGTAGGTAAAAGTTGGAAAGGTAGGATGTAGAAAGAAATTTAATATTTATCATCTGTACGCGACGATTAATCTTTGCTATTGAAAAACGATTATGAGCAGAGTACGGTTATACATATTTTTATCGAAATTTGATACTAAAATTCTCATAAAAAAATTCTATGTGTTACACACAATTTTTTTTTTTGATCACAAAGTACGATTTATAATGAACCTACTGTTAAATTTTTAAGCATTTCTGTTTGGTCTAACAATTGTATTCACTGAATACCTGCCGAATAAAATTTACGTAAAAAACTAATAAAGTTAAAATGTCTATAAATAGCTCAAAAATGGCTAAATTGTTTCGAAAATTGGACAACGTCTAGAAAAGGCAAATATAATTTTCTGTTTAAATTTCAAGTCTCTCCGAATATGTGTAACTGAATCACAATAAAAAACAAATTTTAAAATAATAAATTTCATAAACTTTCCCATTTTTTTCTCAAATATTATGAAAACTGTTTAAAAAAATCAAAAAATGACCTCATTAAAGTACCACCCAGATGAAATTTCTTTTCAGAAAAGATACTACACTTGAAAATCGGGGTAAATTTCTAATAAAAAAAATTGTTCACAGGAAAAAAAAATAAACATCATTATAAAACCAATACATTTCTCCCCGTCCAGAATCTAAAATGGAGCATATTTTTTCACAACACTTCATTTTAATACGTGTTGGAATTATTTATTTTTACGATATCCCCTATAGAGCTATTAATTTAAAACAGTTTTGATTAAAGGTTTATACGTTATTAAAAGGTCAATTTCAAAAACTAAACCGTGTTATTGTTATACCGATCTATTAACCCCGTCTAAAACCCATCACGTGGATATTTTCTAATTAATATTTTAATAATCGACTACGTAGCACATAAGTAATATAATAGCCGTAGCATATATAGTATACAGTACAATAATCACTACAACAAATTCGATTAGTACCACTATTATTACTTATATAAATATACTGTAGCGTATACATTTAGAAGGCACCTGCCATTGTATCAAGACAAATCAGATTTAAAGTTACCCAATAAACTAATCTCAATTTAAAAAAAAAAAAAAAAGTAGGATACATTGTTGTTTGTACCTGTATGCAACGATAAGCCATTACTAACGAAATCCGATCGAACACCATTTAAACACCATTTAAATATTTTCACGAGTGTTTGATGTTTTTTAAAAGCGTTCAAGGTATTGTACGAGGCGCTTTTTTTTTTGTAACGAGGCCCCCCTAAATTGAATGTAAAACTTTCAAGCCACCTCCCACTTAAATCTTAAAACCATTAATTATTTTTCTTAATTATATACTAAAATTGCATTATGTACTATTTCACACTGATAAATTATTAAACTGTATAGTAAATTAATGTTTTTTAAAATACTTTTGAAAAAAAACTTTATAATAGTATTAAACTTTAAACACGTATAAACACAAATAAAATTGGTAATAAATATAAAACTGTATAAAAATATTCAATAAAAATGTTGATAATTATTAATGTGACGGGTGGGGGGCTTGATGGCTTGTATATTTTTGCATAACATACTTATATCCGGTGTGATATTTGAAACTGCAA